CTGCACTACCATTTCCGCACACACTCCCACCCAACACCCAGCCCCATGCCCTAGTGTTGTTAGAACAGTTAATTAAGTCGAGGTCATCGTGAGTATTCAGAGTCAAGAGGATGCATTGTCTTCAGTGCGTTACAATGGGTTATGAAACTGAAATGCAGACACACACACACACACACACACACACACACACACACACACACACACACACACACACGCTGGCGCATTCATATTAATAATCATGGACGAAAATCTGACGGACCCGAAGTCAATTAAATTAGTAGACTGATTTCGATTGACAGTGTGCACCCGGTATAAAAACTTACCGCGTTCAAGGGCGGCAACTGTCTATTTCTTTTAACCGAACATAGGAAATAGGAAAGTTGCGTCCCTTATTTACTCACACACTCTCTCTCTCTCTCTCTCTCTCTCTCTCTTTTTTTTTTTTCTCTCTCTCTCTCTCTCTCTCTCTTTCTCTCTCTCTCTCTCTCTCTCTCTCTCTCTCTCTCTCTCTCTCTCTCTCTCCTAAGACAAAACGGACCAACTGGCGTTGACTACAGAGAGCGAGTTGAGTAGTTTTGGTGGTTTTGCTACTCTATTAAATGATTTGCGCATCATGTGTATAGTCCTACTGATAAAACAACCCAAATATCATGAGAAACGAAAGCAAACAAACCAGTGTCTGCAGTATATTAGTAAGACACTTTGCTGTAGCACGCAGGAGATCCGAGTGCTTCCCGAGCGGAAAAAAATTATATTGAGTATCTCGGTCTTTCAGCTGGGAAGTTGGCATCCCTCTCAGCCCAAGTTGACCCCAATGGGCAGGGTCGAAGTCCGCCTCCTATGATCAAATTTGTTTCATGCAAGCTGCCATTTTATAGGCACTAAACATTAACATACCGTAATAACAAGATCTTTTGCTGTCTATTGCTGGGTGAAGAAAATTCGAGTAAAGGACACACCATTGGGCTTGAACCCTCAAACCTGCCACTTCTCAATTTCGAGTCCAGTAGCCTAACCGCGAGACAACAAACGTCACAAAGAGAAGCCAAACAAAAGTAGGCCTACCAGTCAGCGAGCTTTATGACGTTGAGCGTTTTATTTTGAAAAATCAAAATTAAACGTACATGAGTAACAAAATTAGTAAGGCTTCCTTACTGGAAACAATAAAGAGAAGTGCAGTCTGTAACTTAATGAAGCATACAACATTTGCAGCCAAAAACCAAAGTGATGCCAACAGTGAACATGTAATGAGTAACTATTGCTTAACATGTTATACTTATACAGTATAACACGGATATATGTCGAACACAGAAGGCTAGAAATCACGCATCCGTCAAACAGTACCTGCGGTCCTGGGGTTTTTTCTTCCTTCTTTATCTTTGTACGAAAATTACGCGAAGCTCGAACATAAACACGGAATAGTCAAACTAATTACGCCGCCGTAGATGTCTAAAGTCAATGTCCTTTGGGGTGCATTTGACACAAAATAATATTAATAATAATAATAATAATAATAATAATAATAATAATAATAATAATAAAAACCCGGAAAAAGGTATAAAACATCACCTTCCCCTCTCCACAGAAGCAGCTAGTTGTGCTATTTTTAGCGCTCTCCTCGACATGCAGGCCCAATGATTATCTAACTAGGCTTGTGTGGAGCAGGCGAAAGGAAGGGCAGTGCATCACATGATCTATTGTTTTGCCCTTATAGTAGCAATCTTTGTTGCTTCTGTTGATTCTCTGACACAGATGAAGCCATAACACTGTTCACGTATCCCTTGAGCTACAGATTCCTGGAACTACCGAGGCCGGTCCTGACAAATTCGAGCTATCCGTATTATACTGTATATCATAATCACACACAAAAAAAATTGAGCACAGTTGTAAAGTATAGAAAAAAAGGTTTAATAACAGCAGAATGGTTAGATTTGCACTGTGACTAGAGCTTGTTACGAGAACAGGCTGATGTGGCTGTGTTAGTCGTAGTGCAGTTGATGAATCTGGGCAATGGCATTCCCTTACGTCCAAGAGGGGCTCATATTTTCCTACTTCTTTCTTTGTAAAAAAATTATTTTATTGACATGGAGAATAAACGGAGACCAGAGCAGTTTCAGCCTGGCCTGCTAGCACGCCCAGTAATTAATCAATAGTAAATGTGGCAATCTGAGAGTTAATAATAGATCAAAATAAACTTGCCCAGCTGAAAGCAACAGTTAAAATATATCTTATTTCATGAAATGCCTTTGAGTGACATATAGAACTATTGTATCAATTTTTAGTCACATTTTTTAGAGCTTGGGTAATTCAACAGCTTTCATCCAGTCTCATTTACTCTTGCTTTGGCCAACAAGATACATGTCATGTACAGTATTCTGAATCGAATATTCTGGCCTGCGACTTGCTTGCCCTTACCTGCAGTAGAACATGGATATGTGCTGTATAAATGCAAAATTTATTATCATTACATGTATTATGTTAATTACAAACAACGCACACATGAGCTTTAAGTCTCACTTGCAGCCTAACTCACCAAACTAAAAACTCGGCATTTAAATCTGTTTCAATACTTTCTTATTTTTTAGCACCTTTTAAAAAGTTTTAGTAAGAGTTTTATGGCACTTGCAACACAATAACGTCATATGAGTGCAGAAGATTAGAGGTGTTACAAGGGAGAAACAAACATAAAAAAAGAAATAGGAGAGATCAGGATGATAGATGTCTGATAGGAAAGAAGGAGCAAACCACACCAGAGCACCCGACAACTACCCATTGAACATTTTTGCTTTTTTTACAAGTACAAAGACAATAAATGGTACATGTAACATCTTTTTATTAAAAGTAAATCAGGATCGATAACAACAAAAAGTAAATCCTATTCGTAATCAGTAATCCCATAAGCGAAGATGAGAAATCAAACAAGCTCAACACTTCAAACATTTAAGATCATTAGGTCCAATCCCAAAAGTACCATTTAAATAAAGCAAAATATTGCAACAGTTAAAGACATTTACCATAATATAATGATGCGGGTCCAATCCTAAAAAGCAGGTTAGCCTCCCTTTAAACGTGGTAATATTATTTATGGGGCAGGACCTCCGAATTTAACGTCTTTCTCCGACAGGACTTATCATAACAATATCATAACAACAGTAACAATTTATTTAATAATAATGATAATAATAATGATGCATTTAGTTTCTGTAGCACCCAGTCCCATCTTAAATAACATCTTAACAAAATACATTTCAGGAACCTTAACACATACGCTTTTTAGATCAACAATAACTCAGGATTGATGATGATATGCACACCCGACACAATGAATATTAGTACCGGGTACTATGAACAAGAAGGACTGACTATAAAAGTGGCATTTCATGAGACCAGAACCTCATACACCAAGACCAGGACAGCCTCTGAGAAAATACATCACTAAATCGAACAAAGTACACAAGAAATGTAATGACAATGAGCATAACTAAGGCGGAAGTAATGAAGATCTCAAGAAGCCAAAGCCCATTCAATATCCAAGTCAACAACAAACAACCGAAACAAGTTCACATCAGACAGGAAAATGGACATGAAAATTGAAACGTGAGTACAAAAGGCAAATGCCGTCATATACCAACTAGTATCCAATTATATTATTATTCTCACATTAAAAAATGCCAATCATCACATCAATCTCTGTACCATCTCCATGCTACCAGTGCCATATCTGAGCCGAAACAAAGTGCAGCAAAATAGAATAAGTATGCGAAATGAAATGTCTTAGAAAAATGTTAAACAAAATAGAAAAAGACAGAAAAAGAAACGACATCTAGTTTTGTGTAAACAACTGATGCATACCATTTTGCTTGTTCACAGTATCATTTCACTCTGGTACGTTTTGAAAATAGACCATGAAATGACCTGCAAAGGCTGATAAATAGAACTTGCACACAACTTAAATCGTTTGTCCCACACTTTTCTTAAATTTCTCAAAGCTTTCTTCCTACACTTGTCATTATTCTTGTTGATACCAAGCTTTTACATGTAAAACAGTTTCAATGTGGGTTTACTAAAGCATGTACTTGCTTTGAAAATAGGTGCTTTTTGCCTCTGTGTGATGGTGTCAAACATAACATAATGCATACATGTACGTAATTTCACTAAATCACTGTCAATGCAATAAACTCAATTTTTTTTCAGCAACATGACTAGTTCTCATCCAAATACCTCCTAAATATGGTATGTCACATGTTTACATACATGTTTTATGTAAAAACAAAACAAACACCATTGCTTGAAGAAACTTAATTGAGCCAGGTGGTCATCTTATTGCCCTAATTTTTTAATTGACCACATAAATATATTTTATGGATTTCTCTTGTGCGAGTCGAGTTCTCAAATGTCTCTATATGTGACCCCTTTGAAATACTGAATCTCAAACTTCATACCTGTAATGTATTTGTCCTGTGTGTGATCTGTCGATAGCTTCTCCTTATAAAAATTCACACGACAAACTTCACACTTCTATGCCTTTTCACCTCTGTGAGTTCTTTTGTGGCTGCATGCCACTGGCTTGTGCAAACTTAATACTTACACTTAACGACAAACTTCACATCTGTAAACGTGTATAAAGCTTTCATCCTATCATATGTGCTTTATTATTATTTATCTTTATTTCATCTTACTTTATTTTATTTTACTTTGTGTGTGTATGCGAGTGTGTGTGTGTGTGTGTGTGTGTGTGTGTGTGTGTGTGTGTGTGTATGTGTGTGTGTGTGTGTGTGTGTGTGTGTGTGGGTGTGTGTGTGGGTGTGTGTGTGTGAGAGAGAGAGAGAGAGAGAGACTAGGAGGGAGAGAAAGAGAGAGAGTGAGAGAGAGAGAGAGAAAAAGAAAGAGAGAGAGAGACATAGAGAGAGAGAAACAGAGAGAGAGAGAGAGAAACAGAGAGAGAGAGAAAGAGAGAGAGAGAGAAAGAGAGAGAGAGAGAGAGAGAGAGAGAGAGAGAAAGAGAGAAAGAGAGAGAGAGTGTGAGTGTGCGCGTGTGTGCATGTGTGTGTGTATGTGCATGTGTCTGCAGGCTGCCAGTAAACAAAAGTGTTACTTCACAAACTGTACACTTTCTTTTATCCTGTATATATGTATGTTTGTGTGTTCTTTTGTGTGGGCAGCCAATCCATGCCAATGCTGAACTGCAAGCTAAACATTTGTAAGGCTTTTCAACTGCATGTGTTCCTTTGCCACTTTGTAGGCCCCCACTCTTTGCAAAAATTACATCGTAAACCCCACACTTGTAAAGCTTTTCTCCAGTGTGTTCTTTTGTGAATGTGCAGGCTTTTAGTTTGGGTAAACATTACACCACAAACATAACATTTATTGAGCTTTACTCCTCTACGTGTTCTTTTGTGTCTCTGTAAGTTGTAAGTTGCCATTATCTGCAAACGTTGCTTCACAAACTTAACACATGCACAGTTTTTCCCCAGCGTGAGTTCCTTTGTGTCTCTCTAGGTGGCCAGTGCTTATAAACGCTGAACTAAAAACATCACATTTGTAAGGCTTTTCTCCAGTGTGTGCCCTTTTCAGATCCTATAGGCTGAAACTATGTCTAAACATTACACAAAAAATTTCAGGTGTAAAGTTCTTCTCTTGTGTGTATTCGTTTGTGATTCTGTAGATCGTCCCTTTGTGGAAAAAGATGCATAACACACTTCAGAATTGTAAGGTTTTTCTCCTGAGTGTTTTATTTGGTGCTTGCGTAGGTTGCCGCTCCTTGCAAACATTGCACCACAAACTTCACATTTGTAAGGTTTTTCTCCAGTGTGCATTCTTTCGTGATTCTGTAGATTGTCCCTGCGTGTTAACGAAGCACAACATACTTCACACTTGTTGTTTTCACCACAAACTGCACAACACTTGTCAGGATTTTTTCCTGAGCATATTTTTCGGTTTCTCAGTAAAGGTGTTTCTCTAACACTGCTAATGTTCTCTTGAGAAACCCTTTGTTCTGTCCCAGATTGGCAGCTTAAACTTTCATCTTGTCTTCTATGCATATCGTTTGCCTGATCTACAATGTGACAGGAGGTCGGTGAAACATGGTGACTAGATGGCACACCTGAAAAAAAGGCAAATAATACACAAATTATCAAACCAAGTTTCCCAGAGGCTTTACGAAATGTGGATGCTACCTATACACTCATAGTAAACTGATACCTAACTAACTACACCATATTCATTCAGTTTTTGCTCATAGTTATCTTTCTCCAGCACCATATCGTCTTTGTATTTGAAAAAGTGAGCGTATAACAAATCCAGAAATTGTAAAAATCCTAAATGTGAGATTCTGTGAAAATCTTTAGATTTACCTAAAAGAAATGACATAAAAAGGTACGTGTGGCTGAGCTGTACAAAATGTAGGTTGAGTCTGCTTAGGTGACAGTTAGAGGTGTGTGCTGTGTGGAAAACTGGAAATGTAGAAATATTTGGAAACTATTGAAATAGGAATCAGTGCTGCTGTACACCACAACCCCACATCCATGACCAGAGAGAGAAAAACCCACCATAGGAAAGAGCACCAACTCTGGTCAGAACCCCCCTTCCCCCCCCCCCAAAAAAACAAATAAAAATAAAACAAACAAACAAAATAGACAACCCCACACATCTGAAATAGCAACAAACATATATCAAAGATACCACATGGCGCCACTTTTTGCCCGATTCTGTTACCTTTAGTTACCGTGACTCAGCAGCCCGCCGGAGCTCCCCGGCTTGGGGTCAAGGGGATAATGAGCCCTGAAGCGGCTTTGCCAGTGTCGGTTATGAAGTTCGTATTTTTGTTTACGTATGAAACAATATATAACTTCTTCTCCATACCACACAGGAAACCATTACGCGCATGTACTAAAAGCTCAATGTCTTGAGATTTATTCTGCGTTAGAACGGTTAATTTCTGTGCCTTAGTTTTTGTTCTAGATAAGTAATAATAATAATAATAATAATAATGAAGATCATTTCTATAGCGCCCACTCCCATGTAAACACAGCTCTAGGCGCTTTACATAAATGCAAGTACAAACAACATTCACGCACGCTACACACACGCACAATACACACACTCATACACACACACAAACACACACACACATATACACATACAAACACAAACACACACATACACACTCACGAACACATAACACGCATACATGTGCACACACATGAAATGTATGCCAATCACACACACACACACACACACACACACACACACATACACGCACACACACACACACACACACACACACACACACACACACACACACACACACACACATCTACTTGCTTATCACACGCACACGCTTACACATCGTCACGAAATGAGCAGAAAATAATATACACAATGAAATTCACAAAATACATAAATGGATACATAGTCATTTACATAGCATTGTACTGAACATGAATCTACTGACATAAAAAGGATGTCATTAAATGTGTCTTTAAAGATTTCTTAAATTTAGACTCAGATGTTGTATGTCTCAAGGGTTGGGGGAGAGAGTTCCAAACTGACGGAGCAAGGTGGGTGAACGATTTTTCAGCTAATTTTTTACCCCCTTTTCTAGGAACTCTTAAAAGATAATGATCGTCTGATCTTAGTGATCTGGATGGAATATAAATCTGGATGAGATCACTAAGATATGAGGGAGCTTTGTTATTGACACATTTATGACATAATATAGCAACTTTATATATGACATTCTAGCTGACACGGGAAGCCAATGCAACGTTCTTAACATGGGCGTAATGTGGTTATATAAGTGTTTGCAGAGTACATAATTTGTCCTATTTTACTTACACACTTAAGAATAAATGATTGTTTATTCTAAAAAGGCGCTACAGATCTCTCCAAAATCTGTGTTAAACTGACCACGAATATTATGTCTTTTACCATGAGAAATCTTAAATCTGTGCGAGCGGTAATAGTCAAGTTATAAGAGAAGAAAGATGCACATCTGCATTTTTTAACTAAAGACACTCAGTGTTAGCTCTTGTTTTACCATTAAACAAGAGAAAGTTACTCTGCGTTTGTTCATGAATCATGCTGTGTCTGTGGCAGCCTACATACAATTAAGAAAGATAGATTATGAGATTTTTTTAAAACACAAAACTGTGTTAATACATGGGTAGAGATGAACTTCTTGTATGGAATAAAAATAATGACAGCTAACATTCATACTTAGTTTTTGTGTCAGACATATGCGCGGACACTTACAAATGTAAAGAAATCAGAACATTGTCAGTTATTGCAAATGGTTATAGAAACGAAAATATAAGCTGGAAAAGCCTGGTGCTGATTCAGTGTCACTAGAAGTCATCCCTGTTATTCAGTCAACTTACAAAACCTAGATTTAGCGTTTTAAGAAAAATAAGGAATAGTTTATGGAGTGTAACTGATAGCCTACTGTTCGTGTATTACATTGTTGTAGATGCATTCTGGCACTAAAATCGGTTTGCACTTTTTCACAGAGAGACATCAGGGTAATTTTGATAAACTTTAGAGAACATATGCGAATATTGCCGATTATATTAGACACATAAAGTTGTATTTTGAGGAATTACTTCATAGCGAATTGCGAGCCAGATGGATAAAGTTGCAAAATTACAGCTTTCTATTATACCCGCAGATACCATCTTTTCTGAGTATCTGCACCATTGTTATGTCGTTCATGTTCCAAAAGTACAACAGTTTTTGTTGTGCTTCTATTTTTATATTGATTTTTTTTCATTCTTACTTATCAAAAAAATTTTACAATTTAGCATTGCCGACTTCAGCGTGTCTAACGAAATAACCAGACTAGTTACAATGTCCGTTGTTTTTTGGGTCTCAAGAGCAGAAATGCGTGCTTTGGGTGCATTAAATGATAATTACCATAAATACAAAGATACGCCTAAAACTGTACGTTGAAAAGTACCAGACAGAGCGGCTACAGGGAGCTGAACCCCGTGACCCCGATGTGATAAGGCGCTCAGCGAGGAATCCCCCGCTACAACTAAAATTCCACTGCCGGTGCGCTGTGACCAAAACATCAACAAAAAGGGAGTTGTTGTTGTTGTTGTTATCGATCCAGCAACATCTGGGCTATCGCCCTTCTGTACAATGTCATGTAGTGATAAGTGCAGGTTTGCTGCAGTTGCTGTAATGTTCCGTAGAGTGTGTTGTCGAAGTTAGGTCTCGGAGGGAGAAGGGTAGCTCTGATGTCATTTAGGGCTGTACAGTGGAAAAGGTGATGTTCCACTGTCTCATATGCATAGTCACACAAAGGACACATTGGGGGAAGTTCTGGTTTTATTCTGTTAAAGTGAAAGTTGAGCTGTATATGTTCTGTTCGTAGGCGGAAGATCGTGGTCTGTTTCTTTCTCTGTAGGTGGTTGATATTGTCATTTCGTTTTGTTGTAGTCATATGTTTGAAAACTGCTCTGCCTGTCTTTCCCAAGGCCCATCTGTTCATCCAGTCTTGTTTGCTGTTGCTTTTAATGATTTGTTTTGCAGTGTTGTATGAAGTTGGAATGTTGGGTTGTTCCTGTCTAGATCCTATTTTGATGAGTGTGTCTGCTCTGTCATTTCCAGGTATGTTTGAGTGTCTGGGAATCCACTGCATCCCCAGGTTGATGCCACAGGATGTTATCAGATGATGGGAGCCAAACAGTATATGTGTCAAGTCTTCGTTTAGATGGTGGTCATTTTCTATTGCTTGCAAGACTGATAGTGAGTCAGTGAAGATCACTATACTCTGTGTTTTGTTTGGATGAAAGTCAAAAACTGTGCGGAGATGGTATAGTGCTGTTTCAATTGCTATCATTTCTGCGTCGTAGTTGTTGCATTTCTCTTCACAGGCTGCAGAGATCTCATTGGAACTTCCACCTGGGTATTGTATTAGTATTCCATATCCGGCTTTAGTTGTACCTTTGAATGCTGAGCCGTCTGTATAGACGTGTATCCAGTCATCTGAACAGCTGTCGATTGTTTGATGTGAAACAAAAAGGAAGACCTTATTGATCTGAGAAGAGCTGCAGAGAACACACTCCTATACTACCCAATGTACAGATAGAATCAATCATGTGATGGATCTGCCTAGCTACTGTCAAGGCTGGCTATGGGATATAGACTTGTTTCTCTGTTTGATGTATCCTTAAATAACTTTATCTCTTCGTGTTTATATCATAAAGCACCCCATATTTCATTTGCAAGTTGATTCGCAGCAACCAATAGGTACAGTTTTTGCGAGACAGCAGTTACGCTAGATCCGATCTGGAATAAAGCTCTGACTTTTCAATCTCAAAGCAGACACTTTCACCACCCTACCAACCTTGGTTCAAGACCTAGTGTTGTCATGTGCTCAGCGTTTGAACACAGACAAAATGTGTAAACATTTATCTCTCACTGTTGCTTTCATCATTATTTCTAATAAAATATCCTTAAAAAAACAACAAAGGGCTGCGGACACATGACAGACAACAAATTTATAACAAGAAAAAACTCACTTTTTGCGTCGTCAACCTGAGCCAGATTCTGTTTTCTCTTTCTGCTGTATGTCCTACATTTTTCCTGTTGATGTCTCCACTCTTGAGATGTCCAGGATGCTAGTTGCTTTTCCTTTTGAAGTTTCCAACCCTCACGCTGTTCCTCAACGGTTTCCCTCATTTCTGGCTTCTCTTCGTGCGTTCTCGTCAATTTGGGTGCTGAAGTCAGTGAGGGCTTCTTTTTAAGCTTCTTTGCTTCTCTGTCAGGATTTAAAATCGTACAATGAGGGGAACGAACAAAGGAAGAATTTAAAATACTGAGAAAAATGCTGGAACTCATTAAGATTATTTGGACAATTAAACAACTGGTTAAAAGCATATGACATTGTCCCATTGCCAGTCAGTCCTTCCTTAAAAAACAGCCAAATCTTGATTTTAAACTTTAGGTGAAAGACGTGAAGCCTGTTCATTTGAATCCCCTCTGGGTCATACTATCTAAAACTTATAAATTGGAGTTCAATTAGGAACTGTGGCATCTGGCATTATCATAACAATAATAGTGAATGTTAGGAATGGTTAGTGTGGTACAGTGGAATCCTGTTATAAAGAGAGGAAGGGGACTGGTACGAAATGTCCGTTTTAGCAGGATTCTCGTTATAAAGGATCCAGTAATAAATTCAAAAGGAAATAATAAAGTAGGCCTTATCTCTGAGTTTCGTGCTCTGTTTATTTCTTTTTGTTATCTCCCCTGATTATAATTTTGCCCAAAATGACCTCTTGGTCTTACTTGATCAAAAATCTGATCAGGTTTCTTTCTCTAGCGCTAGCGATATTGACAGCTTGGCGTTGGCAATCAGAAAGAAAGTTCTCTAGGTTAACTCGTCCGCTGTGTTGTCCCCCACTCCACCACACCCCATGGTGCATTCTGTCTGCTTGCCCACATCACACATTCGCTCCATCCATCACAGCACTGTGACTTCTCCATCAGAAAAGTGAGAGGCATGGTAGGCCTAAACAATTTAGACTAGGCTGGCCTATCATGCGATGCGTTCTGCTTCACAACTGCTTGTCTGCCCATGCCACACCCTCCACACACATTCGCTCCAGCCTTCATTGTTGGCACAGGTGGGCTCTCCCATCCTTTGTTCTGCTAGATCACCAACAAGTTTCTAAACCGGCTAGGTTTTACATGTTGAAATGGCCTATGCGCTGTGCACAGCAGCAGCAATATTCCACTATAAGCGACTCGCCTGTTTGTCTGATTGCGCTATAGCAGTATTTTATTTACAAAGATAAAAAAAAGGATAAAAACGGGGTTTTAGAATAGTGTCTTTATAAGAGACTTCTTATTATTTCAGGACTCGTTATAAGTGGACTCCCCTATATTCGTTTCTTGTGATTGGGTGTGGCACATGAGTTGTGAGATCATATTTATAGTAAACAATGTCTCCTGTTTGTATAGCAGCACATGAAACACATCCTAACAGCATTGTCTCTGATTCTATGACTATAAGTTGAAAGAGATTAGAGATGTTAGAACTATAAAAAAAAATACAGAAGGATAAAGTAAGAAGTGAATGCTTGCTACACTGAAGTTTTTGCATTTTGTAATAAGGGTAAAAATATAAGTAAAAATTATATTTTTACCTGCAATAATTTTTACCTGCATTTCTGGGTCCTTAGTCGGCTAGCTTCTCGACGTGCTGCCAACTGCTCATCTGTCAACACCCTCTGTCGATACTTTTTGCATTTCTCTTTATTCCTTTCAATGTAATTCAAGTTGTCACTGTTCCGCTCTCTGTACGCCTTGCATTGCATTGCATTGCTTGTTTTCCTTTTGTTCTCTGACTCTGTGGGGCCCAACACGACACGGAGACCTGTTGGGGTAGGGGGTGGGGGGGGGGGGGGGGGGGAATAAATGATAATAAGTTACCTTCACTACAGTATTAATTGAAACAACCTACTGTAAATTAGGTGCGAATCTCTATGAAAACAGACCTGACAAGCACTCCATGTCCAAAACAAAAAGAAAAAAAATAAATTATATAGTAAGATCACGTCACAAACCAGCTTTATGTCCAAAACTGTAAATGCAACAAGTAACCAACATACAACTCACTACAGAAATTTGGATGACAAAAGAAACTGTTTCTCCCCAGCTTCTTAGATTACACAATTAGGTTGTTAGGTTTGGTTTGTTGAGTCATGTCAGTACAAAGTTGCTTGTAAAATTGCAGACTCAGGTCGTAAAACAAAACTACAACATGTTGGGTTCTACAACTGGACATTACAAAAATAAAGATTATAATGTCCAATGCAGAGAGAGTCAAGCAACAACTTCTTCAAGAAATTGGGATGACAAAGAAATTTAATAAGGTTGTTTCCAGATTCCCAGATTACAAGATACGTGGTTAGTTATAGTCCAGTCAGGCACGGCGTAACAAGAGCAGCAACACCACTTTATTGCTGTTTAACCTGTTAATTAACACTCAGAGAATATGAATTACTGCAGATGAAGTTCGTATTACAGGATGTCAAATCGCAGATTCTCGATTATATCATCTCTGACCAAAAAAAACCTATCAGATCATTAAAAATGAATAGAGCATACAAAAAACAACAACAATACCTGAAAGGCCCTTTGCATTTGTTTATAAAAATTAAAAATTATTCATGCATGATGTTAGTTAAAAAACACACCCTGTACACAGTGGCGTTGCGTGGGTAGCAGACAAGGTGGTGCATATTGGAAAGTGAGCAAATGGGTAATAGGCATAGTAGGCTATTATTAAAAATTTCTAGGGAACATCAATTAGAATCTGCAGGATATCCCGTAATCTACATCTATCAATATACTACTGTTTCAAGATGAAACCGCATACAAAAGCTGCAATAAAGTGAAATAATATTTAACAACTCACTATGCTCACAATCTGAGAAGATTTAAAGATTTCTAATTACTTCGTGCAGCACCAGGACTTGCTACACAATAGAAGGAGACAACAGTTTCGATACCCATTCTTCATTGAGTTACCGTAGACTCTACTAGTGTAGTAGGCTAATGGAAACTTAGATCAAATTTTTAGCTTGCACCAAATTGGTGCTGCGAAGAGCAGTTTCATGCACACCTTTCTTCTTACTTGTGCATGGAGAACGATGCCTAGATTTCTCTACTGTGACAAAATTACTTTGGTGCAAAGATTTTGCTTGCTCCCAGCAGACACAACCGCAAACGGTGCGACAAGCATAAAAACCATCCTCGCTGTCTGTCTCTTCACTGGCGCAGCCAGCGGGTGACGGATCGCAAAGATGTAGCCTAGTAATGTTGATCTAGAGCACTGACTGGTTTACAACAATTAGAAAAGGGGGGGGGGAGGGGGTTGAAGGCCAGGGTATAGGTGGAGCGCTTGCACCAATAGCACCAATGGTGCCTCGTCACTGCCTGTACACCTTCACACCTTCTCTGATTCCAAACAAACTGACATGGCTCTCCTTTGAAGCGTGATCTTGATGTCAAGATCAGAAGGGAAGAAAAGTAGTACTTGAGCAATTTACTTCCTCTATGTTTACTGCCCAAGCAAAGCTGTATCATGCGTGTAAGGCTTTTTAAGATTTTAAGATTGTCTTTTACGACTTGACACAAAAGGCCGTCACATGTTTAAAGTCATTACCAAATGTCTTTATTGTGACATTACAAGTTTTAATACACACACACATGACATACAAAAAATGACAGATAGGCTTATTCATTGAAATTTTTTTTTTTAATTTAAATTTACTAAAATATATGCATGCACCTGTCCATGAATCCATTTTTAAAACTTAAACATGGATAGAATAATATCATGTATTCATGTATTATTACCAGAACTTTCACCGTGATTCCAGCAGGTCCTTGCAACTGGGCCAGAATTTGAGACACTATATTCCAGAAGAGCTGGGTCAGCAGAGAAAATTGAAGCTTGACGACTGCATGCAACAATATCAGTGTCTGGGTAGAAACTCTGCTCCATACTCAAACTCCTCACACTGGAGATTTGCAACTGTAGTCCTCCAGCCTGACTGATGTGATCCTCAACAAATGTGGGCTCAACACATAAATCTCCCATTTCCTCTTTCACAAAATTCTCTCCTGTTGGATTCACTTCACCACCAAAGTCAGTAAAATGTTCAAACAGAGGTTCTGTTTTCACCATGTCTATATCTGTATGGTACTCTTTATTCAAAAGTTTTACTTTTATCTCTTCCTCTGCAATTATAGGCTCCCCTTTTACTTCAATGCAGCTGTTTTCAATTACATCTGATCTGACGTTTCCCTTGCCCTTAGCCTTGACATCACAAGGCCATTCAAAACTGGGTTCTTCTACTGATTCCTCTCTAACAACAGGCCTTTTCTCTTTGAGATCAAACAGGAACAAAAATCTGTTCTTTTCTTCAGATTCATTCATCCCACTTGAAGTTGAAGTTGAAGTGTCTTGATGTTCAACATCCCTTAGACTTAGACGCGATTTAGATCTCCGTTCACCTCGTTTTACAGCAATGCCATCAACATCAAGATTCACATGTCTAATCACTGCGTTTTTCTCAAAATTGATGTTCATTTGTATACTTGAGTAAGAAATGTCAGCCATTTTTGTTAATCACAACACACTATAACACTTGGCAATGTCAATATGTTGACACTGTTTTAACACTTTTGACTTTTGAGTGCTGTGACTTAACAATAGAAATTCACTACAAAACAACCATACACTTTTTCATGCAGCTTACTAAATCAACTAGATCTATTAATCATAATTTAAGACTGATGTCTACAATTAAAGTATCAACATCCATGGAGACTGCTAGAATTAAATTGGCCCAATAATTGGGTCTTTCGGCCCCAGCCAATGGCCAACACTACCTACTGCCACTGGTCTACACTACAACAGTCTTCGCTACGCCGATTTGACGCTTGAGTTCCACAATTTCCAAGATAGAATATCTCCAAATTTTGCACAGAATCATATTGATCAGGGAATAAACTTTGTCACCGGGAAGAATAGATCTAATCTAGATCTCGATCAGCGAAATTATGTTGCCGTAGGGGAGACCGTCAGCCTTTGTTTATGATCACAGATCATCAAACGTCGAACAACCAAGCCCTCCACTAGTGTGAGGAGCATACCAGTTTCAGCACTCTAGAATAGCAAAACGTGGAAAGTTGTATCCAAGAAAAAGGCTTATAATAATTATTATTATAAATAAATAATATTATACATTGGTCATGTATAACACTTTGCGCCTATCATGTGCCCCAGGCCTATCATAATAATAAATAAGGCCTTAGTACAATTTGTTAAATTTTGGTCTGTAAAATATCTAGCTCATTTATCAAATTGGGGGGGGGGGGGGGGGGGGTACACCTGAAGGCTATATATATATATATCTCTCTCGCTTATTTGGGGGCAAAATTACCACAGATCACAAATATAGCAAGTATTGTAAGGAGTCTTCAAATCTGCAATCAAATTTGAGAAGAAAAAAATTTTATTCATGGATATGGATTGGATTTTTTTAAACACGTCTTACGTAATTGCGCTTATTTTTCAGGAAAATTGATTTTTTTTGGACAAACATGGACCACGAACAAGACACATTAGAGCAAAGAATTACAACATGTGAAATGCGATGTCTTAGAAAAGCAGTAAACAAGACCAGGCGAGACAAAATTAGAAACTCAATAATCAGAGAAATGGTGGGCACAAATGGTGTCATGCATCACATCCAACACCAAAAAATCAAATGGTTCGGACATCTCTTGCGATTAGACCACCTAGCACAACGTGCCTACATTTTTTTTTTAATTCGATGGCAACAAGGCGAGAGGGCGACCGAGAAAGACGATAGATGGATTCAGGGAAATACTAACCACTCACGGCATCCCTTTCTTCCCGCGACACCCAAAAGGGTATAAGAGGCGGATAAAAGTAAAAGTGAAAAGTAAAGTAAGTTAATACATGTATATTCATTAAAGCAGGTAGTTTGCGCGATGACTGCTCTTTTTGAGGTGCTGATTTGGAATAAAATGTTAGATTTTTAATCCGAATTGAAAAGTAGATGTTGTTTTGAGTTGCTTTAAAAAAATTATTTTTGTTAGCTCTGGCTGGGCCTACATTATTATTATTATTATTATATGGCCGAAGAATCACCAGTGGCCCGACTAACAATTATTCTCCTGATCGTGAATTGGCTCCTGGTTTAGACAATGGATACAGGGGGCCTTAGGAGGCTAGGGGGTCCTTTTAAAAATTTTGGAAAACATTTCAACTTTTAATATTTTAGGTGTATTTTGTAATTATATCCCCTATATTCTTTTAAACCGCTTAATTTAGACTAACATCAAAGAAAACGTGTGGGAACCTACGTTTGCAGTGAGGCTTTTATAGATTCTGTTGGTCATTGACTTTTAGACCCGTATGCAACATTCTGAGAAGATTAAACAGAGTGATTTCTTTACCTTGTTTTAATCGTAGTCAGGCGAAAGTGAACAAGCTTTATAGTAAGCGTTTTGGAGAGTTGACATTATAATATGAGGAAAACGTGTCAGAACTTTAGTTTGAATACGGTAAATGAATCTTAATTAATGGGTTTTTAGATTCTGTTGGTTCTCCATCGCCCCGCATGCAAAGACCAGAGACTATAATGAAACAGAGTGATTTGTTTTTAATCTCGTTTTAACCGCAGTCAAACAAAAGTGAACAAAGTTTTAGCAAAGTACGTAACGTAGGCCTACTACATGTTTTTAACTTATAACATAATCTTTGGGCCTTTGGGCGTTGATGATGTGTTTAGATCAGTATCTGAGAAGGCCTAGGTCCTGCCCAATCGGCCACTGTCTACTGCGATATTAACCCCCCCCCCCCACAACCCCCCCCCACGCACATAATCTAGCGCCCCCCCCCCCCCCCCCCTTTCACATCCAGACAAATTACCACGAAAACATGAATTTTAAAGTGGTTATTGACAGCCATTAATATATAAGTCTTTATAACTATATGAACACCGTGGTAGACCTTCATCTAAACCGGTTGTCAGAGCGGTTCAACATTAGACCATAGCCATAATATAATATAGGCCTATAACTAAACCAAAAACATCTCGATATACATCTAAACCGGCACCTAAATTAGTTATAATCAAATCAGTGACTAATAACTATATCAGCTGACATTGAACTTTTTACTTTCTTTCATATTTATTTTTGCTAAATTCTGGTTTGAAAGACGGGTGGAAATCAGGGGCGGCTCGTGGGTCTAAAAAGTGGGCGTGCACAATAATTGAGCTATCTTAGGTTGAAGATAGTCAAGGCGGGCATAATAAATGAGATGGTGTATAATTTCAGGATCTTTGGCTTGGTGAGGGAGAACCTTGTGATATTCTATTTTCATTCTTTTTACTTGTGGCTTTGACTTCTAGAACTAAATTAATCTGTTTGTTAGATAAACGTCAATTTCATTCATCCTGCTTTAGAACTGAACACTCAAGTAATACCTTTCACCACTCCACTACAAAAACGTTCAAAAGCACAACTCATAGGACGATGACTTAAGTGTGTCACGTTCACCTCCCTCAGGTTCACGGTCATAGAGTCACTTAAAATAGCGGCAAGGCAATGAACCAATCACAATTCACTTGAGCACTCCACTGGATTGCTCCGGGCCTGACATGATTTTGGCATAGAATAGTGCACAGTCTATCGCGTTTATTTTTAGATTGCCTACTGTGGGCTATGTTTCGGCACTATTCGGCAGGAGCACATTTGAGATGTGCCGTCTTATTAATATTAATGTACCGCCAGACTCGCTACGAGTGTCGTCATCGCTTGGGTTATCCCAAAGAGCGATTTATAGGTCAGGTTTCCACTGTTGAATATCCTGGTATGCATAGATACAGCGCATGAACTTTGGCATAGCATAGTAGATGTTTTACGGCGCTATAGACACAGAAATGACAGTTACGGCGCCAGTGAGAAACGTATTTTGATATAATATTTGGCTAGTGTTTGTTTCTGGCGTCTTTTATTTTGTTATTGTAGGTGTTTTACGTAATAGAACATTAACATTTTGGGCGGCACTGCACCACCGTGCTCAATGGACGAATCGCGTCTGGTGGAAATGCAGGAACAGAGAGGGGCTAAAAAGTGGTGAAGAGAGATAAAGAGGTGAAGGAGGAAGGGTGGAAGGAGAGAAAGCAAGAGAGTGATAGAGGGTGATGGAATATGAGAGCGGTCGAGAGGGATCGAGAGTCGAGATACAGGGACAGAGGCAAACTGATGGGACAAGAGAGAGAGAGAGAAAGAGAGAGAGAGAGAGAGAGAGAGAGAGAGAGAGAGAGAGAGAGAGAGAGAGAGAGAGAGAGAGAGACCCAAAAATACTCACACAAACACACATTGAGCCTTGAACAATAAAATATGACATCTTCAAGTACAATTAAATTGATTGGTCAATGGAAACACAATTTAAACAAGTTTTCGTCTGGTTAAAATATAAGTAACCAAACAAAAGGCCAATATATGAAGTGAAATGTCTTTTAACTGTTAGAGTTACATGGCTTCGTTTAGTTTTCCAATTTCACCTTGCTTACTTAGAGTTAGAGTGGAGGCTAAAAAAAAAAGTCTTATCAGTGACAATTTATTATTTCGTGTAGTTTTCTTAAAAGTTACTTGTTTCAAAGCCTGCATCTAGATCTAGTCCTGGTAATTATTTGCATATTTTGTTTTGTACCTTGTCTGTATTTTCTTCTTCATAAAAAATCTGAGGAAAAAAAATTAGTTATGTGGACCATAAATAATGGTCCACACTGACAAACTAGATTACGTCCTTTCTTGTTTTGATGGAGGATTTGGAATTAAAATTGTAACCGGAAGTGCTCACATTGAAAACAAAAAGACTTGAAACAGCGTCTTCAACGACAAACTACTTGCCAACATGGGTTCTGCAGGCGACTGGTGTTTAATAGAAAGTGATCCCGGAGTATTTACCGAGCTTATTAAAGGGTTTGGTAAGTTGGAAAAGGAAAGGCTCTCTAGATCTTTTGATCTCAGAGTTTGAACTTAGATTTGTATGTATGGGCTGTGGGCCATGGGCGGGCCATGATGGGGGACAAGACCATCCAAAGCAAAATAGTCGCATTGATTTTGATTGACTCGCGTTCTCATCGACTCGTCGTCTCGTGGCTCGTTGATCGTGCCTTGCTTTGCTCATCGTCATCAGTCATCATATTTTTCTTTCGAAGTGGCTAGATCTAGATTCTAGACTAGAGTAGGCCTGCATCACCGCGCTACTGTTTGGGTGCGCAACCCCCGGTCTCCTGCTTTGTTTTGGATAAGAACAGCGAAAACGAGGTCACTTTCTGTGAGCATGCGCAGAATGCAGCTTATTTCACTTTCGTTTTGGAGGTTCCTGTCAACACACGTGATTCTACGGTGTCGGAAAGTTTTGCCCCTTCATATTAATGGTTTTCGTAACCGGTATCGGTCAATTTACTAAGCGCTTGAGTAGTCGATTATTTAGCACATCTCGCTAATCTAGCTCTAATGATCTAATGTATCGTAGAATGTATACTAGAATCGATAAATACTATCGCAGGCTGCTTCTTAATGCCCAGGAACATGCCAGATAGGGTTGCGCACTGAAGCGGCAGTCCGTTTGAGTGCGCAATATCGGCTTTTTTGCTATTTGGCATTGATAGTGTGGCTTCTAGGCCCTTTGTTTGTTTTACTTATTAAGTTATTTCTTTATGATCTGCATTGTGCACTGGAACAGACTGTTTTCCTTCCATTTGGATGCATTATATTGCCATTGGAAGATGATCAGTTAATGTATTCATGTCAAAATTAATTAATATGGAAATATAATCTCCAAAATGTTCAATTTCTTCTTTTCATGTCTTTTTCTTCTTCTTTTTTGCCCTTTTCCTTAAAGAATACTTGTCTAGGTATAGTCTAATTCTTGTTTTCTTCTTTCACTTCCTTGTGTCCACAGCACCTTTCTTTTTCAATTTCTTCTTTTCACGTCTTTTTCTTCTTCTTTTTTGTCCTTTTCCTTCTAAAATACTAGTCTAGGTATAGTCTTATTCTTGTTTTCTTCTTTCCCCTTCTTGTGTCCACAGCACCTTTCTTTTTATCCATTATCAAAACACATACACAAGGTGTAAGGAAATCTCCTGTTAGGGGGCGCACAGCTCCAAAAAAGAACATGCCTAATTGACCTTGGCCTTCCGTTATGGTCAGTACAGGAACTTCTTGCAAGGAAAAGAAGACTAGGCAAGGATAGAGAAAGATGAAAAGTGTCAGAAAAGAGCTAGATCTAGATCTAAAGCTGTAAACATGGTACTATTGCGCACCCAACCAGACGATATGTTGCACCAAACCAGAAACCTTGCGCACCAAACCAGACACACGTTACCAAACAAACACCACCACAACATATAGAAATTTTAAACTGCTGTTACAGTAATACGCTACACCGTATAGAGAGGAAGTTTTTCTAACTTCTGGTGAAAAAATCATGAAGATCGACCTGTAACTTCCAGAGATGTCCACAAAAGATCGCTTACTGTATATCGCACCACAGGATGTACTCTAGATCTAAATCTAGAGAAGGAAAGTGGCTATTCTCACCCGGCTGGGGTGAGAATAGAAATACGATCGACCTCTCACCCCGGGTGAGACTTGCCACCGTAGGATATTCTCACCCGGCGTGAAACAAGACCTGTTTTTCCTAGTTTCGGAATACTTTCTATCGATGTGGATGATCAAATGGATAAAGGCAAAGAAAAGATGGCGCTTTTTCGGTAGTTCCCACCCCGCAATTGTTATAAAAGCCGGTTTAGGCCTCAAGAGAGGGGGGTTTCAGGGGGGCTTGCCCCCCTGTCCTAAAAAAATGTGGTGGGGGGTTTCAGGGGGGCATGCCCCCCTGAATTTTACCATAATTTGATGTTTTGCACTTGTTAGGTTTGATATCTTAGCTCGCATCAAACGTTTAGATCTCGATGTAGGTCAGGCTCAAAATAGGAAGAGGCTAGTCGTACTTAATGACGGCTAATGACGGCTAGACTGGCAGTCTAGCCGTACTTAAGTTTGACCTCTTTTCTCATTGGCTGCCAAGTTTCGTGAGAAAACGGGTCCGGTAAAACAAGCCCGCAGCGCCTATACGGGAGTCCCCGATTTCCGTCACACTCATCGGCGCTGCGTGGGCCTTGCTAAATACTGTCTATTGGTGTGGATGATCAAATTGATAAAAGCCAAGAAAAAATTATGTTATAATAGCACAAAAGTAAGCTAATTTGATCGTCTACAAAGGTGCTAGCCTATATACTATGACTATTTCACTTTTCGAATCGAGCCGAACTACGCGGGTCGCCATTTTGTTTTGCCCGGAAGTTCTCGCAAGATCTACCCCCCCCCCCCCTCTCTCTCTCTCTGTCTCTTTCTGAACTGTCTATCGGTGTGGACTATCACATTGACCAAAATAAAGTTAAAAAATGATGTTAAAACACAAAAAAGTAAATTAATTTGGTCTTCTTAGACAAAGATGCTACGGCTATTTAACTTTTCGAATCGAGACGAACTACGCGGGTCACCATTTTGTTTTGCCCGGAAGTTCTCGCTCTACTCCTCTCTCTCTCTCTCTCTCTCTCTCTCTCTCTCTCTCTCCTCTCTCTCTCTCTCTCTCCTCTCTCTCTCTCTCTCTCTCTCCTCTCTCTCTCTCTCTCTCTCTCTCCTCTCTCTCTCTCTCTCTCTCTCTCTCTCTCTCTCTCTCTCTCCACTGCCCACAGACAAAATTGCACGCTTTTAGGCTAACAGTAGTAATGGAACGTGTCCACGGCACAGAATTCGACAATTCTGTTATAATCAGAGTGTAGAATTCTGTGGTTCACGGTGAACGCTACACTGGTTGGCCTTGGGCTATAACGGTGAACGCACACCGGGTGAGAATAGCCAAAAGACTCACCTGCGCTATTCTCGCCCGGGGTGAGAGTAGAGGTGGCCATCCAGTAATAAAACTCTCGAGCTTGAAACGGGATCACAAGCTCAACACGTGAGCTGCCGGCATGTGAGAGGTACGTGAATCGGCATGATCGCAAGGCGGCATGTGATTGCCTGCTGAAAACTAAATAGAGGCCAGTTACAGTGCTTCCTCTCTTCTGTATTTTTACGGAAATCTGTACTTTCTGCTAGTTCCGTACTTGTTCCTCCATCATTATCAACTCCCTCCGTAAAAATCTCCTGCAACAGCATAGGACTACCGAACTTCCGTAGCCAAAGATCTGTACTCGCCTTCGTATCATCTTGTATAAGTTACGGATATTTATGGCAATTCTCTCGGCAATAGTTTATGTTATAAAAACCTGCCAGATTGCGCTTTTCCTGCCATCGACCATTATATACCGCTATGCCCCATGCGTTCATTGCAGGTTGGTCGGCACCACATTTTTTATCTGCAGATTGATCAAAATCTGGCGACCTTTTTGTGCCACTTTCCTCCTTTCTATCATTCCCTCATTCCGTCTGTCTATCATCGGATTGTTGCCGCGGCTGGAAATTCTATGTGTTGAACAAGTATATATATATGGACTTGTGGTCTTAGACGGAAAATTACTGTCAGAAAGAAACTTGCTTGCAAATTTATTGTCTAGGTTAGATTCTAGATCTAGAGAAATTATCAATGCGAAGATTCTACGGCACGGACGCGACAAGGGCCGCGATGAAAGAAATTTGTGATAAAACTACTAAAATCAAGAATAATTGTTTTGAGATTGTGACGTGCGACAATCAGATGTGTAACTGTATTGTATATCTATTCATTATTCCCAGGTTTGCCTTCTATCAATGGTGCGATGACAAATTAATTGAATTATAGTAGCAATAGAAGCGGAACCTGCTTTTAAACATTGCCATCAATGGAAAGATATATGTTGGTGAAGAAATCAAACAAGACAAAATATCTTGGTGAAAAAATAGATAGTATGGGTTGTTGGCAATCTCTTCAAACAGGCTCGGGCAAATGACATTTTCAACCCTCTAAAAGCACTAAATTTAAATTTCTTTGGGGGCTTCACCCCCTGAACCCCCACCGGGACGCCGTCCCTGGACCCAGACCCCCGGCACAATTTTCCTTACTTTTCAGCTTCAGCTGGTGGAAGCACTACAGTTAAGACTTCATTGCATGTTTTGCTGATACTGCTTTCTTTAAGTTGTAGAAGAGGTGATCGGTCGCAGTTCAAGCTATGTTGCGGAATTCAACAAATTTTCATGTCATGCAAACATTAAAGTCTTTGAGCAAAGATCCAAAGTAATTTAAAGACATTAACTGATTCCGTCCATGATTTTTTCAGGCTCTGGACAGAGTTATTTTTCCCTGCTCAGTTTTAGACCTGGGGTGCATCTATTTAACGCATTACTGTGAAGCTCTAAGTCACTCTAATATGTATTGTCATATACCAAACTGATGGGAATAAATAGAAAAATCTGTTTATATCAATAACAATGACCTATAATCTGTTTGTATTACAATTTCCTTCTGACAAAAACGAATGAGAAAAAAAAATTGCGCAACAGCTCTTCGAAAATTTCGACTTACCGCATTTTCTCAGCTCTACAAGTCCTTACAATCCATAGGAATCAACACAACATTGTAGCGATATCACCGTAGCACACATTTATGCAAGAATTTCACAAATTTAGTTGAATATCTTTCTTTGAAGAGCCTTTTTATTATACCAGGCTCCGTGTTGTTGACCCTTAGATCTAGCCTACATCGCAACAACAAAACAACGATTTTTGCAAAAATTTCGCGGAGTTTCGATCGATATTGGCGCTCAGAGATTGAGGTCAGGTTTGTTTACAAGTTCTACTTCCTTTCGACAACTTAAAAAGTAGGAACTATGTTAAAGAGTGCACCTTTGTTTCGGATTTCGTTGAGCCGCTCACAGCGGCCGAATGGAGGCAGCGGAAAAACTCAGAGCCGCTGTCAGCGGCCGAATGGACGGAATCAGTTAAAAAAGTGAAAGCAGAATTAGATTCTCTGCACTGTAAATCACATGATGAAGCGAAGTTTCTAATATTAAAAAGTCCCACAGAATTTTGTAACAAAAAATCCCTATATCTTTATATTTTTATCAAGGGATTAAAAAAATTAAAAAAACAGTTTTTAGAATTTACTCCTCTATGCTTGTTATTTAAAGCAATTTAAGTAAAAATTTAATTTTAGATCTAGACACCTATTTCACTCCAGACAATGTTTCAAAAGAAAGTTTCTGTCATGATGAACATGTTGTCCCTGAATTAAATACTTACTTCTTCTTACTGTTGTAACCCATTGCCGCTGTGAAATTGAGTATTGACATGATTTATATTATAATATAAATAGTATTGTATTAAATTATATCAAAAAGCTTCGATGTCTCACATTTTTTTCTTGTCATTTTTTGTTGTTGTTTGAAACAAGGAAGGCATTTGTTATCATAGGGGCAAATTCAGTTGCGTACTGCGAAGATAATTATAATGGTTACAAAATAGAAAAAAGTCTTGTCATGATTGAAGACGGGATAGAGTAAAACTAATACTAATATTGTTTTTGGTTTCAACGACTGCAAATTACTGAGATAAATCAAGTCTCAAACTCAATGCTGCAGAAAAACAGCTTAATTTTGTTAGCCAGTGATATTTAAAATGGTTTCCACTAAAGTTTTGTTTATTTATCTCCAGGTTGTCGTGGTGTTCAAGTAGAGGAGATCTGGAGTCTTGACCCTGAGAGTTTTGAGTCCTTGAAGTGAGCTGCTAGTTATATAGTTGTATGACTTTTGTATGCAATTAAATAATTTATTTTGAAGTTTGTGCTGTGTGATGTTTGTTTTGTAGCAAGCAGTTTGTTAAGTATGAGTGTGTCAGCTTTTGCCTGCAGGAATAGTGCTTTCCACTCAGTAAGGGTTGGCCCTTACAAGCAAAGTTATAAAGCAGCCAGGCTACCAAATGATTTTGAAATATGTTTTGATAAGATTGTGTAAAACACAAAAAAAAGTGGGAGCCAGTTGTGTGGATTATCTGGTCTGACTTCTTAACTGAGAATTTTACTTTCTCCATTCACTATTCACCCCACCCTACCCATTACAAATTCTGAAATTTAGTGTAATCTCAGAATTGTAAGTTGATTTTCTGTGAACAAATTTTTTGTTGTTAGTTTGAAGTTCATGTTGTAATGACTAATATCAGACTAAAATTCTTTGGGAAATAAGGTCAACGTTTTGTTTTCCTTTGTAAAGTAGAAATAAAAACCAAGACAGATTGATTACTTTTGAGTAGTAACTCTATAATTTATGTTTTATTAATCTGTGGTTGAACACACACTTATTCTTACCACGCTTAGCAAAGCATCAATCTCTATGTCACATTTTTTCACCTTTGCAGGCCGGTGCATGGACTTATTTTCTTATTTAAGTGGGCTCCAAACACAGAGGCTGATGGGTCCATCGTTCAGGACAGCAGGCTGGAGAAGATTTTCTTTGCTTCTCAGGTTTGTTCCTTACAATGTTTTTGTCGTTGCCTTATTTATTCCAGCAGTTCTGTGGAGTTGTAATGAAAGCTTCCAGTCTCTTTTATTGATTGTCTACACTTGTATAAATATGGGAAAGCAGGGAGTAGCAACAATTTATGAGAGGTAGTTTCTAATAAAAACTAAAGAGTGCAGAAGTACATTGCTCTTGAGATATAGATTTGCCAACATGACTGCAATAATTTGTCACGTAGACACAGGTTTTTGTTCTCATAAATATACAGCAGCTCAGAATAGTGTTATTATGTGAGGTGCTATTTATTGCAAGAGAAAAAGCCGTTATTATTTGAAGTAGTATTTGTTGTTAGAAGAAGAAAAAAAAAAGCTACTGTCCTCTGCACTGAAAAAAAAAATGCTTTCTTGAATGATTAGTGATTTGATGAATCAGTGTACCAGTTTTAGACAAAGTAACCATGAAAAAAAATGTTGGACAAAAATGGCTGCTCCTGTAATCCTCTATGCATTCAAAATATATTCTGGGGGCATTCCTCTTGAGGTGAATGATTTTTTAAATTTATCTGAATCAAAAGCGAAAAGGATAAGACAATGAGCGCATAAACGTGAGAGAGGGTCATAATCATCAAAATATTGTGGGATTATCTTTACTCAAGGATGTACTGGAGAGAAAGAGATAGAGAGAAAAAGTGAGGAAGAGAGGGAGAGAGAGGCAGACAGAGTGAGAGAGGGAGAGAGGATTACTAGAGGAGCTGTGCACTGTATATGCTCTTTGTATTATTGTACAGCGCATTGAGCACTTACTTGTGGAATGCACTTTTAAATGCAATTTATTATTATTATTATTATTAATATGTTTTGGCAAATTCCTCACCCATCTTGTAGGATTGAGTGGAAAGGTGTTGTCAGGTCAGAGAAAGATACATGCAGAATAATTTCATAATCATGACGATCAATTACTTGAGGTGATGAGCATGGCCTGTTTCTTTCTTTGTGCAGGTGATCAATAATGCTTGTGCCACACAGGCTATTCTAAGCATATTGCTGAACTGCACACATCAGGACTTGGAACTTGGGGACACTCTCACCAACTTCAAGGAGTTCTCCCAGGATCTGGATCCAGGGGTAATGAAGGCTTACTGGAAAGGCGTTGAACTATGTTAATTGTTTAATTGTTATTGCTATGATTATTTTGTTTTGTTTTCATATTTGCATAGCTGCCACTTTCTGGCTAAACAGCGGAAACTCTGCTGCATCTAGCTTTTCCCGCTACTTTTCTCCTTCCTCCGCTGGACCACTCTCGGTCGCAAATTTCAATACTTTTTTTTTTTTACCCGCGGAAAACACCGAACTGGGAGAGAGACGAAAACGCGTCTTGCGCATATCCGCCCGTAGCTTTGTACTTCCGTTCTTCTAGGCCCAGCGGGCCCAGCGCTAGTTTCACATTATTTATTGTTGTGGAGCAACACAGTTTTGATCGGGCATCGGCACGTTGGGGCGCCGAGTTTTCATTGAAAACAGCGGAAATTCGAGAGAAATTGATGCAGAATGCAAAAATAAAAAGAGCTGGAATGAAAAAGAAGCAGCCGGTGTGCGACTTGTAAAGTTCATTAGAAAATTGAACTAGCCGTTTACTGCACTTTGCGTTTGGTGCGAAAGAAATCGCGGCCCGCGGCACTCCTGTATAATTGCGGTCCCGTTTGTTTACATGGCGGCTATTGTCTAGATAATCTATCTCTTGATATAATCTAGATCTACACATATTTAGATATCTAGATTTTAGATCTAGATTAGATAGCCTAGGCTATATTTTTAATTCTGTTTAGATCTCTAAATAAGAAACACACTACAAGGGCACTAAGTGCAAACGGGACCGCAATTGTACAGGAGTGCCTTCCTTCTTGATCCGATACTGCTTTACATCGATGTACAATTTTACAGTGAAAGAAATCTTTTTATGAGACACCAGCTGGCAAAAAAACACTGGGTTTGTAGTCACCAAGTCCAAACTGTCAAATTGACTCGAATGCTTGTTAGTCAACTTAGTGCCTTTATTGTTTTTTTGTTGTTTAAAAAAAATTAAAAAATTTTAATTCAGTCGCCTATGGTTAACAATATGACAGTTTTCCCTTCCAAAACCATAGGCTAGACTTTCCAGTATGTTGCCTCTGGATCTCACTGGTTTTACTCCGGCCTTCGGAGAGCGCACGTCCGCCTTCGAGTGACTTTCCTCCTTTTTAAAATTCCTGAGTGGCAGCTATGTATTTGGCAATATTGTGTAATTTTTTTTTCTCTTCAGAATCGTTTATTCCCAGTGGGTTTGTTTGATGCTGTAGTGTGGTCAGTTACTTTTACTTCATGTTCAGTTTCTTTCTTTCTTTTTTTTTTATAGTAGAGGGTTTTACGGCGCTCGCAACTGCATACGGTCATATGAGCGCCAAGGGGTGGGTGTCAACAGAGAAGTCTTTACAGGGAATCAGACTTAGACTGTTCACCTCTCTAGCTTCAACAGCACAAGGTCTGCTTCGACTATCAAGGCACTCCAAAATAGCAGGTTACAAGAGAGTGACAAACATACAAAAGAAGTAGAGGAAAATGACAATAGTAAGGATCAAAAAAGAAAAAGCAGCAGTTCCCTGTTGTAGATCAGGCACAGTTATGAGCGTGACATGAGTCAGCCCATTTACAATTCTACTATGCTTGAACAAGAAATGTCCCCCCTTTGGGAATGGCCTAAAGACACTTCAGTCAGTGGCACTGCCCCTGGGAAGTGTTCAGTTTCTACTTTCTGTAAACCATTACTCAACTGTATTTTTATGTATGTATTCTTCTTTTGCACTATGTGTAGAAGTTGCCTAATTATTCAGTCAATCAAATATCGTTCTTATTGATGAGATTTGTGGACTGAAATTTTCCTGCTTTTGTCTTTCATTGTCATTTAGGAGCAAAGAGACTACATATATCAAATATTCTTTTGAAAAATGTTACAATTTTTTAAAGAACTTACATGGTGACGATTTCAGTCAGTATGTGAGTGAGGTACTGATATGCTATTCTGTATTCTGTATGCTTTCCATTCTAGTAAATCATTATTTTTGCTGCTTCTTTCTTTGTTTCTGTTTTACAAGCTCACAGTCCCAACCAGTTTTAGTGTTCTGAAACTACTTTTCAATAAAGACATTTGTTAATTCTCTTAATTTAATCACGTTTTTTTTCTTTAGCATCTTCACAGCTGTTTCAAGGCTGACCTCTTGTTAGTTTTATGAAATGTTCTTTTTTTTGTACTTGTAACCTGATCTATCAAAGGTGAGAAACAGAAAGGGGCTTCCTAGCTAGGCCAATCAAAACTGTACTATATATGGACATTGTGAAAACCCCACTCTACTTTTGTTTCTCTTCAGCTGCGAGGACTGAGCCTGAGTAATTCAGATACAATCCGTGAAGTTCACAACAGCTTCGCCAGGTAAGTTCACATTACTTGGGAGTTGGTGGTTTACTCGCAAAGTGCTCCGGAGTGCTTTCAGGATCCGTTCGAGCGTCAGAGGTTACGACTGTATAATTACGTCTTGAGATTTTGAACAATTTTTATATTATCAGACTTTGCAGGTTTGGGCGGAACCCCCCACCCCCTCCCCCAAGACGACCAGTTTAATGCTGATAATTCTGTAGTTAAACTATGAATTTTGTGTTAGTTTGGGATACTTGTTAGTTCTGAAAGTTTTTCAATATGCCATTAAGCATTAAGTCTTTTCTCGTCACCTCCTCCAATTGTTATGTCTGTCAGTATTCTCTAGTCAGCCAACACTTCCCTTTCTTCCAAATCGTTTTGGAGATATTATTTATCTGCTGGTCCTTGTGCTTTCCAAGCACTACATAATTTTTTATTGTTATCGCTGTGGTTGTTGTTGTGTTTCTTATCAATCCAGCAACAGCTGGGCTGTGCCTCTGTCCTATGCCAACTAGTGATCTTTTAGCATCCTTTCTTTTTAAACGCAGGCAGCAGATGTTTGAGTTTGATGAGAAACTGGCCAAGAAAGATGATGATGTGTTCCATTTTGTAAGCTACCTCCCCATCGATGGCAGGTTGTATGAGCTTGATGGATTGAAAAGTGGTCCAATTGACTTAGGTAAGCAAAAAGGATTTCGTCTTTCCTCTTCTTTTGTGACCCTTGTGTTTGCATTGTAATAAGAGCATTTGCCATTCAAACAGCAGTAAGTTTTAAAAAGTTTTGATAAGAGTTTTATGGCACTTGCAACACAACCAGGTCATATAAGTGCCGAAGATTAGAGGTGTTACCAGAGAGAAACCCGCGGAAAAGGAGGAGGAGAGATAAGGAAGATAGATGTTTAATCAGAAAGAAGGAGCAAACCACACCAGAGCACCCACCTATGGCTGGGCAGCAGTAAGCTTTTGGAGAAGACAATGCATTAAATGGCCAAAGTTCTTTTTTCAGATATTTTACCCTTTTTTGTGCGTCATGAGAACAACAAGGCTTTTTCCACAGCACACATATTTGTATTAAAGAGAAAGGGATGCTACGTGTATTAGGGTCAGGCTTGTGGGATATATGTAAAAAAGTAGCGTGACAAAACAAGTTGAAAAACAAAAAAACAAAAAAACCCAACTGACATCCTGTAGGAGAGAGACTTCCCTTCCTCTGTATTAAAGAGCCCTCTCCCTGACTATATGAAAACTTCTGATTGTACAGTAATTTTAATATCCAGAATTCTTTAATTTGTTTTTGGACTGTGTTGTAATTTTGTTTGTTTGGGGGGGGGGGGTTATTCCTTCTTTAGGGCAGTATTGAGACTCGTGAGTAAAATAAAACAGGTCTTTTTGTTCTATTATTTCCCCCAAAAACATGATGTCTAACAAACCCGTAAAACGGCTTTGAAAAAGATTGCTTTGTGGTAAATTTGCATGTGTCTGAATTTTTTTTTTCTTCTATTTGACAGGTGCTATACCAGCAGAGACAGACTGGATTGATGTTGTGCGCCCAGTCATAGAGAAACGGATGCAAAAGTGAGCATTATTACGTAGTACTCTTAAGTGAGGAGGGGGCAGCTGCTCTTAAGAGACAGATGTATGTCTTGACTGAAATACTATTCCATCTTGTAACCCTTTCGGATGGTGGTCACCCAGTTTTGTCACACCCTTGAGTGTGGCCTCCCTTACCTAGAGCGCTAAAAAACAGATCCGGATCCTGTTTGGGGAAAAGGCTATAAAAAACTAGCAGAAGCACAAGACCCTCTTGTTCAGAAATGGTTTTTGAATATTAGTATAAGTTTTAGGTTGGGTGAAAAACGTTTGTATAAGAGTGCATGTAAGTTGTGTGAAGTGGCACTTTCATCACCACTTCATGGTTCTTCATCACCTGAATTTATGGTGGAATTGTAGAACATTCTGTCAAATTCAAAACGCCCGCCACAAAGTTAAAAAAGCTGAACTGGGAACGGCTCATAAACAGAAAAGACGTCTGCAAGTTCATTACTCCATACTGAAGATTTCCCTTCCTTTTTAGCAGCAGAATTCTGTGTTTTAAGCTCATAATTGATATACCCCTCCCTGATCGCTGGTATTGATTCTTTCCATAATCAGCGGCATGGATTCATTCCGTAATCGTTGGCATACCGGCGATAAACATCCAAAAGGGTCACTGGTGCTTTCTCTTTTAAAATTAAATCTTGAACTGACAAGTTTTGGCTTGATGTTGGTGTTCGACGGCTAAGGAGAGAAAGGATAGTAGTCAGAGTTCACCTTTTTTATCATTGCTTGTTTTGAATTGATTGTCTTGCCTTGTCTCGTTTGGTCCTTCAGTATTATAGTTATTATTCTTGAACAGAGTAGAGTTTTGGTCTGATGTTGGTGTCTAGTGTAAACTTTTCAACATATTGATATTACGTCCTAGAATTTTTGACAAAGTCTACTTAATCAGGGTAAGAAAAGCTACCACACCTTCATGGAAAATTCATATTTACCAGCACTTATATCTTGATAGAAGATGTTGAGAAACAGAAACATTTGTTTTTGACATAATGCCTGCTTCTTTTGAGATGAGACACTTAATTTAAAGCCTCATTTTCTGCCATTATTTTTCAAAGAAATAAATCATAATAATATAATTTTTATACTTTTCTTTGAAGTTTGTGGCTTATGGAGAGGTCCATTGTTTTCCCTCTTTTAGACAATCTGCGGGTCAGTGTTGAGGTTAATATTGTGACTTGCTGTAACAACTGTGTCTGTTGGCTTCCAGGTACAGTGCCGATGAGATTCATTTCAACCTGATGGCTGTAGTTTCGGACAGAAAGAGGTCCTTTTCTTGTCGCCTTCAAGAACTGACTTCTATCATGGAGGTCTGTAATTCTGAGTGTAAAGATATTTTATTGATTGGGTATTTTAATTAATTTCTTTTTTTTTTCATTTATTTTTTTTCAACTTAGACTTTGGATTTTATGTGCACTGTTTAACTGTCAAATTACATAGGATTGATATTATTTTTGGTCCTATTAGTCTCGGGTGGGTTCTTGGCAAGTTGTCTACCAATGCCTTCTCCTTCTGATTCTTTATATGATATATGCAGTCAGCAAGCTTTTCAAATATTCCTGAACGCTGAAAGCAACCATTTTCAAGTGAGAGAAAAAAACTTTTTCCTTTAGCAGTTGTTCCTGCACTGAAATCAGTACCAAAAGAGTGCTAAAGGCCTTATCTTTTGGTTGGACATAAATCATCTTGTGAAAAGTGATTTGTGGCTTAGTACATTGGTTGATCCCCTTTTGACGCGGATGAAGTGTACTATGTTACCACACACTGTTCCTATTGTGTTATCAATCAGCGTGGTTTGGCCAGTACGTTTGGTGTGCACGTGACAAGAGAAAGCAAAATGGTGTGTAGGCTCTACTATTACTATCCCTACTAGCAAAACCATACGGTTGTGGGTTAATAATAGGGACCTTAGAAATATTTGTTGTTAAAAAATAATGTCCCTTCTGTGGGAAAAGTGTTTTAAAACTAAAGTCAGCTTCCGTCTCTGGACATGGCTTTATGATCAATTACTGCTGTTTGGCTCTCCTGTCTAAGGCAAGGTATTGTGATGTAAAAACCACACAGATGTATCTACTCTTTTCTTCTTAGATGTCTTTCTAGTGTGGGTCATTAAAAAATGTGAATGATTGTTTGTTGTATCAGTCAGTGAAATCCTGCTATACTCTGGGGTTTTTTTGTTTGTTTTTTGTTGTCATTCAAGACAGTTATTATTCTGTTTTCTCAAAGTTGCCGTTCTCTTATACTGATGTCGGATGAGACAGTATTTTCATGTCACTGTGGTGAAATCTGCACAGAATTGTAGATTTATTATCTGTTTACTGATTGTGTATATGCTTTCAGACGAGTGGCATTGATTCTAGTGATATAGCATCAGAGATCTCTAGACTGACTACAATGATAGCAGAGGAAGAGAAAAAGGAGCTTCGCTATAAGGTTTGTTGTGCTGAGATGACTCTCTAGGTCGAGTTTGCCCATACTAAGACAATTCGATTCATAATTTGTGGTAAAGTAAAATTGCTGAAAATGCAAAATAGCTTTGAATGAAATTATTAATTTTTGGGTGTAGTGGATTATTAATGGTCCAGACACTTTATATTTTTTGTGTCGCCTTTAGAAGTTACTTGTTAATGTCAGTAATGATAAGTTGTAATTTAAAAACATTTCTGCTTTCCTGTCTGATAATTTAATAGATTGTAAATACAATTGCTAAATTTTCACCCTTTCTTCCCTTTTTTTACTGACTGGGGACTGTGGGGAAGAGGGGGACATTTATTTTCATATGTGGTTCAGAAAGGGTTTGTGTATTAATGGGGCTTTTTTAAAGGCCTGACTTTATAGTAGGTCCAGTCACATGATCAGGTGTGAGCTTTAGAATTTTTTACCACTGGCAGATGAAGATTTCCTCATTTTTTTCATGAGTCAGCCTGTGGCTGTGAAGACTGAGAGCTGATTTTTTTAAAGGTATTTAATGTATTGTCAGTGGTCAGTCCCATCTTTTTGATGTCTGCTGGAAATTAATTTACAAGATGATATATTTATGATTATTGTTATAATTACAATAATTATTATGATTATGATGATGATGATATCTAAAACACAATTCGGCTTTGTTCCTGATAAGGGCACGAAAAATGCTATATTCACCTTAACATTGTTAATGAAAAGATGTATTGAAGCACAGAAAGATCTGTATTTATGCTTCATAGATTATTCAAAGGCGTTCTATAAAGTTAGACATGATGAGCTGTTTAAAATACTGGAAAAGCTAGACTTAGATGGAAAAGATCTAAGAACTATCAGAAATTTGTACTGGGACCAAAACGCTGCTGTACGAATTAATGGAGAATCCAGTGAATATAAGCAGATTAGGCGAGGAGTGAGGCAAGGATGTGTTATGTCACCAGACCTCTTTAACATGTACAGTGAAACAATCTTTAGAAACATAGAAGACTATCCAGGCCTCAAAGTAAATGGAGAAAATATTAATAACATCAGGTATGCAGATGACACAGTTTTAATAGCAGGCTCCGAAAAGGACCTTCAATTGCTTCTAGATACTATTGTAACTGAAAGTGAACGTAAAGGATTATTGTTGAATGTAAAGAAAACAGAATGCATGGTAATATCCAAAAAAGCAGCAAACCGTAGTTGTAATCTCTTTAGCAAAGGTGAAAAGATCAAACACGTCCAACAGTTTAAATATCTAGGATATATGATAACATCTGATGCCAATTGCTCCACAGAAATAGAAAGGAGAACTGCAATGGCTAAGGATAGTTTCAATAAAATAAGCCCAATCCTGAAAAATAGAAACATCTCTATGAACACCAAAATGAAAGTCCTGAAATTCTATGTTTGGTCAACCCTTCTATATGGCTGTGAATGCTGGACAATCACTAAGGACAGTGAAAATAAAATAGGAGCAACAGAAATGTGGTTTCTTTGGAGACTGCTAAGAGTATCGTGGAAGGAAAAGAAATGAAATGAGGTAGTGCTTGATGAAGCCCACGTGGGACCCTCAATGTTAAAAACATTCAGGAAACGACAAATACAGTTTTTGGGACACCTGAATAGACATAAGTGTCTTGAACATCTAGCTCTCACTGGCAAAATTGAGGGCAAGCGAGGCAGGGGTAGGCCCAGAACAACGGACTTGAGGAACCTAAACAATGGATAACAGGGAAAGATCAAGGAAACTTAGCTTTTTTGAGAGCATCCGAGCAAAGGAATGAATGGAAAAACCATGATCGCCGATATCTGTCACAGATCTGGCACTGGATGATGATGATGATGATAAATATTTTTATTATTATAATGCTGGTCCAGTTATCAGTAATATAGGTTTTGCTTAAATTTGTGTGTTTTAAAGACCCAGTGAAGTTGCAAAAGTGTTAACATTTGATTCTTTTCCTTTCAGTGGTTTTAAAGTGTTTAATAAATGTTTGAAAAAATTGTTGGTGTAATTCACTAATTCTATTACACCAACAATTTTATAGAGTTTAGTCAAGAATGTATGAAGTATTATCATCACACCATCATCATCATCATCATTTCTCATCCTGCGTGGCAGTATAGGCCACTAACAAGAGCTCTCCATCTACCTGTATCCTGGGCCATAGTCTTCACTTCTCTCCATCCGCATCCTATCTTTTATATCTGAATCCATATCTTTCTTCCTGTACTTTTAGGTCTTCCCTTCCATCTCTTTCCTACTGAATTCCATCTTAAAATTCGTAAGTACTAATGTTTTTATTTAGTTTTCTCAAGGTGAGTATTCACTTTCATTTTCTCTTTCTGATGTATGAAGCATAATTTCTTGTAATCTTTATGTGTTTTCGTTTCCCATGCAGGTTGAAAACATTCGCAGGAAACACAACTACCTCCCCTTTATCATGGAGCTTTTAAAGATTCTGGCAGAGGATAAACAGCTTCTTCCCCTTATAGAAACGGTATGTCTTGGGTTGTTGTCATAGATTCTTGGCAGTATGCAGACTGCTCTGTTGTTTTTTTACTCTGTGTAACTTTGTGAGATTTGTCAGAATCGTAAAAATTTTTTTTTTAGACATCCAGCATCCAGTTGGGCCTCATAGTCATTGTTTGACTCTTTGATCTAGGTTTGTGTCCAGGTACTAAACGTTTAGATCGCTTTGCCTAGAAAATAAACAATAGCCCATAAGTATGTTGTTGGCAGGCGATATAGTGTGGTTAGCTCCTTCTCTCCCATCAAACATATATTGCACTTATCTCTCCTCCTTCTTATCGATGTACAGTGGAAGTTTGATACAAAGAAATTCCATTCAACGAAAATTTGGATTTAGTGTAAGGAGATGGATTCCCTTTTTTAAAAAATTCATTAAAATCGACAAAAATTACTTGGTTTCGACGAACATATTAATGAACAAACTTGGATTCATACTGCCAAGCTAACAGTCCTCGTTGATGTGGCTTTCGGCATTGTTCTCCCGCAACGGAGGGTATTTACTCTCTTCCAAGGCACCATCGATTGCACATGCACAGTAGATCATTAGACACTTAGCTTAACCTATTGCTTACATCTTATGTGACCAATCAGAAGCCTTCTTTCACGCCAACATATGCGTTGTTGACATGGGTGTAAAAGCTTGTCTCCTTATGTGGAATGCAACATCGCATTGCGTGTGGTCCTTGCCTCTTATAAATCAATCAAGTAAGATTATAAAGAAACTGTCTCCTTATACGCGACACTATGTTTAGTTGCGTGCGACTATTGCCTGTGATCAGTCCATGTAGCGATCGAGGGTCTCGTCGCATGCGACAGACTGGGGGTGTGGCAGGTTTAGAATATCACCATTGGTCAAAATACCTAGCCAAGGAGTGACAGTCGACACACCGTGTGTGGTGTGTGTGTGTGTATGTGTGTGTGTATAGTATGTTCATCTTCAATTCCACCCAACGCACGTTTGTGTATCTAATCTTGTTTTTTTTTTTTTTTTTTAAATGGTCAGGAGGAGTAGGAGGAGGAGGAGGAGAAAGAGGAGGAGGACTTACTCAGGATTGGCCATGTACGGAATAAAAAATGTCAGCGGCTCGTAGAACTCACATCTGACTGACTTGTGTACTTCCTTGTCCATCTTGACATTAAAATTTACCTCTGTCTCTCTTCTCTGAATTGCCAGTCGTGCCAGGGCTTAACCAGTCGAAATATCGCGTTGCACATAAGGAGACAGTTTTGTCGCTCTTGTTTCACACAACTGAAAATTTTGGCGCGATGTGGTCGAACATAAGGATATACACCTTGTGACTAATAACTAGTGACTGTCAAGCGCGACTATACGCTGCATTGCGCATAAGGAGACATAGGCTAAAACATGACTTGCCTTCGCATGTGCATCTGAGAAGATTTCTGTAACATGATGATTGGTACAAGTTTACTCGCTGGAACTTGGCTTTGTAATTTAGTTGTGCTGTTCACATAATTGGGAAGAAGAATCCTATTATCTTAAGAAGCTACCTTCAAAGTTGATATTCCCTAGGATTCAGCTCTGCTTCTTATTCATTGTTCCTGAATCAGGACATCTGGCGTCTGTGGTGTAGCAGTTGGGCGCTTCACAGTTGTATGCAGAAAACCAAAGTTTGATTCATGAATGGGGAGAAATGTTTGTCGAGTGTTAGTCTTTCTCCTGGGATGTACTATCCCTGTCAGCCTAGGTTGGCCCAGACAGGCAGGGTCGGAAGCTTGCCTCCCAAAAAATCTAAATTGTGTCGATGGTGGTGTAAAATACCTTATATTAACCAAAAAACAATTTTTCCAATGTGGAAACCATTCTTGCCTATGTAGTTCCGGTTTCCTTTGAAACTTGAAATTTGTAGCTGATCTGTGTTGTGCTTGTCTGTGTCATAGTTATCGAGATTTCCTTTCCAAATGGTCACTGTTTCCCACCTTTGTATATGTCAATGGTGCAGTAAACTTCACTTATACATTGAGTCTTTTGAGGATGCTATATGGTGTAGTGCTGCACCGCATTCAGGTCTCTTTTTATATCAATGTACTATTTGTTAGTATCAGGCTGATCCTACTTCTTTCCCTCAGGCCAAGCAGTCAGCAGCGAAGAAAAAGAAGGGGCGAGAAGAACAGAGCATGGAGACCAAATAGTGACTGTGAGTATCTCGTACGTTAGGGGACGGGTGTGTGGGGTGTAGTGGTCAGGCACTTCACTCGGGCACGCGGGGGATCTGAGTGGGGTTTACTAATGCTCTGTGCGAAGTGATAGCAGAGATTGAAATTGTACACATGAAATTTGAAACCTGTAACTCCTGCTCTTTTTTATTATAGTTTACAATACACTTTGATGCTTCAGTGAAAGGTGGGGGGTGGGGAGGGATTAATATAAAGCCATGCATATTACTTTTTGGTGCGTTTATGTATTTATTATAAAATTGCAGTGGGCTGATAACTATGAATAATAAAACACTCTGCCCTGTGTACCTGACATTATTGTCATTATTTCTAGACTAAGATTCTGTCTAGTTTGTCTTCTAAAATAGTGTTTAACTTGTTGAACAGGATATTTTGAGCATGTTTTGGGTAATTTTTTTTTTCCTGTGAAATTTTTACTCTTCAGTAGAACCTATACACAGAACGTATAGGAATATAGTCATGTCATGCATCGCATCAAAGTTAATTGCAGGCAGAAGCTGAAAGTATAGAAATCATGAATGTATGACTTCTATTTATTGTGTAAAAGTTTAGGAAGAAATAATGGTAGAGATACTGAAAAATACTGATGAATGCTGACAGTTTTTTTGTGGGTGCAGGATTTCCCGACGAATGCTGCGAGCGTCATTCCATGTTTTAAGAGTTAAGTTAACAGGGTTTGCCACACAATGTTATTATTTTGATCTTGAAATGTGGTCCCTCCCTGTGTTTTTGCTTTTCCATAATTCACTGGGCCTTGTTTGCTGAGGATTTCATCTCTTTACCAAAAAACCCATACTGTTTGACTCTGTTTTTTTCATTTGTTCCTTCTTCTATTTCCTCAGGGGGAAGACTGAATCTCAAGAAGTGATGTGAGGGAGAGTGAAGAAGAGTCATGTTCTTCCGTGGCTCTTTGTTGTTTGCCATGGACCATGTGTTTTTGATATTGTTGGGATGAAAGAATTGAAAGTGTGTGTAGATGATTTGTCAATTGTTACAGTTACTTTGCGCCCAAATGTTTCCCTGCTTCACAACTGAATGGTTCTGCTTCTCATTGTCATGATGTTTGAGATGACTTAAAGAGTGCCCAGCCTTTTAGAAAGCAACCCATAGTGTTCATAACTTGGGGTAGAAATGAAAGTGTTCAAGTTGTATTATCTAACTTTATTATTTCGTGTTATTCTCTGACCAAAGTCTGTCAAGTTGAAAATTATATAATTCACCTTTCTCATTGGAGCTCCAAAACCTGAATTTCTATTATTTTTGTCCTTTGGAAAATACATTTTTATTCCTGCTGTACATCCTTTAGAAAATAATGCCAAATGTTTGGTTGGGAGGAGGGGACATTTTTGGTTGCAATGCTGTTCTATGATTCCAAGTTGGGGCATAATATATGTGCCTCCTAAGCAGTGAAGGAGGTCAGAAAGTGAAAAGTTTGGTCGTCTGAAGAACTAGATGAGTAAAAATTGAGAAGGGTAAGAGAAAAAGTTAACCTCATGTTTAACTGCTAGTCAAATTTTTAGAGCCACTGAACACTCCTTACTTGTGATTCACTCATTAATGTAGTGCATAGTCAATGATTTTGTGTCTCTCTGGAATTCCACCTGACTGTTTTTGTCTTTGTCGTTTACTAAGTGTGTAGCTCGTGAGTAGTGCAATTGTTCTTGCAAGAGGTGCTAAAGGGTTGTGTGGCATGTATCGGCAGGGTGTTGTATGACAGTGGGTTACCAGCTCTTACTGGGAATGACATGATCGTGCTCCTTTGCAGATACTGTAGGTAGCTCCGCATCACTTTATTTTTTGGGGTATTTGAGTCATGCAGCAAGATTGACTGCATTTGGTAAGATTGTTCCAGGGTGACAACCAGGCTGCAGGATCCCAAAGTCCCTGAGAATGACCTGCAGATTTGAGTAAGATTTGCTTGAGACCCTGGGAATGTCCTGGGAATTTTAGAAAGTTGTAAATTGCCTTAGGACGGAAATGAAATTTTGTTCTCCGCATTTTGATATTCCATCCAGATAAGGTCTACAAGTTCATTTTATTCTGTATTTGTTGTATTTGTTCAGCTTGTTTCCTTCCTACAGTGTTCAGTGCGAACACGTAGGTATGGTGGAATTGGAGGTCTTACTTATATTGAAGCGGGGCAGTCTTGACCAGGGAAAAATCGAGATTGGCTTTCGCTGCCACCTGTTAGAACATACCACCGTGAGGGTCTGGTTTCTATCACTATCATCATTGGTATTCAGAGCTCCTTCAGTCCTTCTGAGTTTGGCACAGTTTAATTTTTCCACTTCTTTGAGACCCATCTTTGAAGTCATTCCTGCAATAAGTTTTGCCTTGCATGCTTTTTTAGAATCTGCAAATGCTGAATATCTGAGGGGTTTTGACAGTTGATGTCTTTTGCCCTTTCGCTTGCCCAACTCAATGTTTCTTTATTATTAATGGTGAAGGAAAATGTTTATAGAAATAAGTAGCGGACTGAAATAGCTGAATCACAGTGACCTTAGAGATATATCTGTGTGTGCATGTATGTCTGTGCATACGTAGATGAAGGGTAGGCAGTATGTGAAATGTGAATGTGTGTGTTTGCAAGTTCGTGCATGTTGGAGACACACAGTCACTGTTTTGTGTCAGTGGAAAATGAATGGCAACTCCCGAAAAATTTTGTAGCCAGTATGGCAGTTACCCTGTGTTTAGCTCCGAGAAAAGTTTGCATTCTTTAGTGTCTTTGTGTAGTAAAGATTTGCAAAATTTAGGCGCTGCACTAGTCCCTAATGGTTGGTAAGAGACCTTTGACTTCAAAGTTAACTTATAGGGTGAAATACGCCAAATGCTGTTGTTCCCTATAGAATATGGGGTTGTTGGAGAGTTTTTTGGGGGGAGGTTCCCAATCTAAGTTATAGCGGAGACGAATGTTATTAATTCTCTAAAACTTCTCTGACAATTGCGGTAGATGCAAATGAGTGCAGGTATAAAATGATGAAAGTGTTACGTAAATGTATTACTGTTTCAGGATTGTTTTAGTTTTGTCTCTAAGGTTAGAATTTTTTGCTTTGGGTCCTGCCACTGTGATATATAGACTAATGTGTTGGTACTTCTTACAAGTCTTAAACTCTTTCAGATTTCTGCTTTCTCTTGTTTTTCCCTTCTTTGTATGTTTGTTGTGTCAGTTAGTTTGTATGTGTATTTTTGAAGGCAGTCAAGATTTTTTTAAAGACCAGGTTACGTTGTCAGGCTTTTTTCAATTATTGCGAAACATGAAGTTGCATTTTAAAACCTATTATGTGTGTCATCTGCTGTCCGGAAAAATGTGTGTCCATGCGATGAGAAGAGAAAATATTGCCATAGTGTTTTCCACAGATTGCACTCACTAATTCATCTATTTTTCACTTTCCCTTCATCCTGGAGTTATGAACTTATATGGTTGTCCTTTTCAATTTGTTCATTTTAAAGCTTTGCTTTTCTTGCATTGATTCTCTTGAAATAAAAGCCCATATCATAATTTCCCTGTGTGTCTTATGGTCTACTTATTGAAGCCTGTGTGAGGGGGCATGGTGAAATCAGGGGCTCGTCAAAACTATGAAATCAAAGAAACTGGCCTTTTTCTGAGTGCTGGCCGATTTTTACATTTTCTTTTTTTTTGACTCAGTTCCTTTTATGTCTTTTCAAAAACACATTTCTGTGTGGATTTGACTAAAAACACTATTCAAAGGCACAACAAATATACATCTGCAGTTTCCAAAGACTCTCAAGCTTTACAATTTACTAAACTTTGGGGGCCTTTTTTTGTGCTGATTTTACCTCAGTTACTATGCTACCCCTACCTCCTTTAGACAAACATCTCTACTTTCATACAAGATAGGTGGATATTGTTCTCTTCAAAGCCAAGACAAATGAACAAACTTCGAGATGACACCAACAACTCCACATGCCTAAAAATTGATGATGAGCGCCCAATTCCACCACGTTGTGACGCGTAAAGTGCAGCAGCTCTGAGGTCACCTCACAATTGAATCTTGTTATGCGCTGCATGATGAACTATTTTACTGTCTCTATGATGTGTCGCAGAGTTGCAACTGTCCCATCTCCGTGGAATGTGAGTTAAAAGTGGAAAACTGGTAAAATATGTCTTTTATTTTGACCTGCTTTTTAAATTCTTTAGTAATAATAGTATGTAGTAATAATAATAATATGATTACTACACTCAAAGGAAAGTATGTTCAAACAAAACAGAGGTGAAGGGTTTATTTGGAAAATGTCTTTATTGGAAAACATTTTAAGTAGATACATTACCTTCATTCTGTACAGAGCTAGTAAAAACAAAAGGGCATAGCCATGTTTACAAGGTTAATGTAGGTTTCCATGTCCTCAGAATACAATGACATCATCATATCAAAGCATTTGTAAAAGCTGGGTTCAAACATACTCAAGTCAAGCAAGGCAATGTAACAAAGGACCCACAGCAAAACACTTCCTATTTCTCATCATTTGCTGTGGAGAAAAACCATTGACATAAATGAGAAAGCTGCATAGTTAATGAGACAGAGACTGAGAAAGTTTGAATGGTGGAGGACAAAAGGGGTAGTCCACACTATGTTTACCATTGTTAAGTCTCGTGAAAGCATCTGTCAGTAGAAAACGTGAAAGACTTGGAAATGAGAAAATAACCTAGTTTATTGGTCAAAAGGTTTTGTATTGCTGGTTTTTTTGTGTAGGGTTTCTTTGTTTTTTAAATTGTATCTTAGAGGCAGATACAACCAAAAAAAACCCCAAAGAAACACAACACAAAAATTAGATTTCAAGGTGGAAAATTTTTCTGAAATTAGTGACCTGCCATTGGCTGTTTGCATGATGTAAGAAAAAATGGATGGTAGCAACAAGGAACTTAGTTTATCTTATACGTAATCTGTACATTTACAATGGACAAAAGGACTGCACAGACGGTTCTTTTAATGAATGACACATGGTAAGACAACTGGATGTATTATATTGGATAAAGTAAGTACATTTGATAGATACCTGCTGCAATAAGAGCTTGTTTCTCTTGCAGATTCAGAAACACTTTACTTGCCTTTTAGTTTAGAGGTAAAGGGCAATGAATCATTGTATAATGCGTATTATCATTTAACTCTCTTGGCTCTCTACCTGGTTCTTTTGAGAAATTGCAATCACTGTAAATTGACATAATACAAAACAAAGGTGATGTTCCCAAGTCTTGCCCAAGATGGAAATGCAATGTCTGATAAATTTTTATTGACATGACTATATTATTATGATTATGGATGGGTTTTTTATCTGCCTCAAAAAGTAGAAATCGCGTTATTTATGGCATTGAAGGCCTGAGGCCCCATCTTCAAGTATGTAGCATGTTGAGAAGGGAGACTTTTGGCACCAGGGCCATGATTGTTATACATTGTAGTTTGCTCTTATTAAAAATAAAAAAAAAGCAGGTATCAAATATTATGTGAACAGCTGATTGGTGTTACAATGTACATATGTTACGACCTAAACGATTTTCTTTATGGAGAAGTGAGATAAAGTTAATTGATCCTAGGTCGTTTGGAAAGAGTTTCTCACATTTTTCAGTGCATCTTTTTCATATATGCTTTTGGTACATGTATGATAAAGGAAGGGTATCATCCACAAAAACATATCACTGCGATTAATTCATTGTTAACTTGACTTGCTTGAGTGAGTACTTGCATGTACATACTATTTTCAAGTAATGTCAATGGAAAATTTAACATACGCCTCATAGTAGAAAGTTTAGTATTAGTTGCATAAACTGTACATATTATTTTCTTTCACTTGTATGTTTGTAAGTGTTTTGCAACCTAGTTGGTGAATACGCAGAGAAAGTTTAGTTTAGTAAAGAGTTTTACGGCACTTGCAACACAATAAGGTCATATAAGTGCCGTCGCAGAGAAAGAGAACCAGAATACAAATGAAACCACAGTGAATGAGTAGTGAAAGAAGAAAAAAAGCAGTAGGCAATCACTCTGAGGTAAACCTGAATGTAATACAGCAACAACAGGAAATGTTATGGTACATTGTTTTGCATGTTCATCACTGAAAGGCCTCGTAGAATGGGTCTGGAAACATTATTATAAAGATATATATACTATATATATATATGTACAATATTTTAACGTGTGTGTGATAACAGTTTTAAAACAGAAAAGATCATAACAAAAACATGATTCATTTTCGCTTAGGCAGAAACCCATCAACACATAACTGACAAGACTCACACATTCGTGTATGAAAGTTTAGGAAGATTGTAAGTGGTATGTACAAAAGAAAAGGTACAGGGAAAAGGTTTGTCCAGGAGCTGACGGTAAGCAAACTGTAGAAAGCCTACATGCCGACAAATAGTGACAAAAATATATGGTTCTGATAAGACATATTACTAGTACCAAGTGGTTTGAAGAAACTTCTTTTGACAAGCTTCTAAAACATACAAAATAATGAGGCCGGCCGGACGGACATGAACCACTATCATTCTTTCTAATTCCCTAGTAAATTTTTGAGATCACTCCTTTCCTGGAACAGGAAAAGTACATTTTTTCTAAAATTCAAAGGGGGATACTAAAAAGGATGAACTTTGGGACGGCTTTGTGAAAAGGTTTTTTTTTTTGGTGCTGGAAATCCAGATTAAAATGAAAGTTAAACTTAAATATGTTAGAATCGAGAATTGAAATACATGAACCTCTTAAAGGTTAGCAAATTGCCTTTACATTGAATGCTCTTTTATGTATATTCCCTCACAATAATGATATAAGCAAACATTATATTTGTTAACAGTGATTTTTGGTATTAAGGTAGCTGCATAGGCGACTTGTCAGTCTCTCCCCTCAAATGTAAAAGACTTGATGTGGTTACAATGTATCCCCAATTCAACGTTTGAAATCTTGAATGCCTCAAGTGTACTATTCATTGTTTGTCAAAGAAACTCTACCACCACTATAGGAATCACAGGATTGTTCTCTGAAATATTACATTATGTATAATATTAATTGTGAGGCATCACGGTGAAATCAGGCACTCGTCAAAATAATGAAATGGAAGATATTGGCAGTTTTCCACCAGTCTGACAAATATTTTCAAATTTTTGTTCTTTGTCTCAACACCTTTTAAGTCCATTTATCATTTATAAATATATTTCTGAGTGGATTTTACTGAAAAAAGTCGATTTAATGACAACAAATGTAAATATTACGTTTCCAAGTACTCTCAAGCTTTGGAAACCAATAAACTTTGACTACCATTTCTCGATAATTTTTTCTCTGAAAAAGTGAAACCAGGCGACCTCCACATCCTTCAATCGCAAATATCTGTCTTTTATTCAAGATAGAAGTGCATTTTTTTTTTCATCGGAACGTACTCAAATGAATAAGCTTTAAGATGATACTAATAACTCCACATGCCCCAAATTTGACGAGTACCTGATTATGTCGGGTTGTGACACAATTAACATAGAGCCTATATCCTGGTGGTGAGAAGTGTTTTAAGGTGCACAGTGGGATGTGTCTTTGAGAAATAGAAAGAAATCACTTTACGTTGAAGATAGATACGTACATTTCCCTTTGAGCACGAGATCCTCTTCCAGTTTTGATTAAAGGACATTTGGGGCTTATTTTTTTGTCCTTTTATGGTTAGTAAATCACAGATTCTTTGTGGGTTATGAATAATGAGATGCAATGGAATGCGAGGTACAATAACAAATGGGGAGGTTGAGAGGGAGAAAGAAAGAGCGAGAGAGAGAGAGGGGGGGGGGAGAGGGGAGAGGGAGGGAATGTGTGTGTGTGTGAGAGAGAGAGAGTTTGTGTGTGTGTGACAGAAAGAGGTGAAGGAAAGGAAGGGGCAGAAAGAGAGGAGAAAAGTGTGTGTGTGTGTGTGTGTGGGGGGGGGGGGGGTAGAGAAAGAAAGAGAAGGTGAAAGAGGGTGAGAGAGATATATAGAGAGAGTACGCTTGTAATTTTATGAATGCATGCTTGCATCCACTCTTAGAGCTTCTTTTGATCTGCGGTCTAGCGTACTGATTACCATTTAGTATGTAGGCCTACATCACGTTTTGAATATGCTGGTGAAAAGGTTAAAACATAATGCAACTTAATTTATACAATGCATGTAAAAGACATACACGCTTACTGGAAACACGATCCACATCCTCTCCTTCCTTCGCACCATCCCCGATTATAATTCTCTCTCTCTCTCTCTCTCTCTCTCTCTCTCTCTCTCTCTCTCTCTCTCTCTCTCTCTCTCTCTCTCTCTCTCTCTCATACACACAAACACACACACAAAGCGCGTGCACACAAATCAAAAACAACTCTTATTCGATGACAAGTTCAATAGAGCCGTTCCGATGCGTGTGTCAGCGAATTAATTCTTTTCGTTGTCCTAAATTTTAAAAAAGAAAGAAAATACCTCCTGGAGTTAAAAGAAACAACAACAACAACAACAAGAAAAAAAAAATTAGCTTCGCTCTTTCAGTGACAAGATTCTGATTTTGAAGGCGTAGGGGAGAAGCCATATATAGAATCTTGAAATGCTTTGGAATTGTGCAAACAATCATAAATTGGGAAGAGCATTGTGAGGAGGAAACTGCCTCCGACGTCCGACTTTGACAAGACAAACAATTGAAGAACACAGAAATGATGAGGGAGAAACGATTTTAGGGTTATTATATATACCGTGAAGTATGCCTAATATAATAGATACATGACTAAAATGTAATTCATAGAAACCTGCTTAACGTTTAACTCCTTAATTTTTGTTTCAAGATGATTAGGGTAAACTAAGAGGAATTCTTGTATCCGAAAACTATCTAAGTAAAGTGGTGGGGTTTAACGCCTTTGTCAACACTTTTAGGTTATTTAAGAAGCGAGGAACTATTTTATCAGATATAATTTCTATCATAGTCCAGTTTGTACGACGGATGTGCAATGCATTCTAATGTACCAGTAACTTTTACCAGACTTAATTAAAAACAAAGCACTTCAATCGTCTCCTATACTTTTGACCCCGTAAACAGTCTTGGATCAAGGCAGAGAAGGGGGTAAGTTGTAACATAACACATTCATTCATCTTCAGCAGTTCAATGTGATAATTGGGAAGATATATTAAAATTTAATGACAGACGAACATTTCATCTTTTTGTGTTGGATAAAACGTTCTGTATAATCTACAGAAAGTGGCAGCCTCCATTGATCCAGTGAAGAAAACTGCTACGCTTTGTAAAGAAAGTATTTGTAGCCTACAGTGGGTAAACAGATTGAGGACAAGTAGATACGGTATGTGACTTTTAATTATTGTTAAACTTGGTCCTGGCATGTCAAAATCAATGTTTTTCAGTTTGGAGTGATGACTGATTTGAGCTGTTGACAAATTGCTTGGTCTGCTCATAGGATTTTCCTGAATTTTCGTTTCTGCACGCTTGAATTTGGTATTCCAATGTTGCATTCTCACGCATGTGTGTGTGTGTGTGTGTGTGTGTGTGTGTGTGTGTGTGTGTGTGTGTGTAAGAGAGACAGTGAGAAAGAGAGAGAGAGAGAGAGAGAGAGAGAGAGAGAGAGAGAGAGAGAGAGAGAGAGAGAGAGAGAGAGGAGGGCGGGGGTGGGGGTGGAGGGAGGGGGAGATTAGGAGACACCAACTCTACGATTCTTCTCTGTCTTGTCAGCTGTTCAGTGATCAAACAACGACAGACAGAACCTACGGTACACATAAGTAGGAACCAGGAGAGTAATGAAACCTATCATTGGCACCTCCAGCCATTGCATGTCTGTTTTCGGGCTAATATAATAATCATTTGTGTGTGTGCCTGAAGAAAGATCCCAATTGTCGACCAACTTTTTTTGAGCAATGGAGCGAAAAGGCCAACAAAAGTTTTGAAAAAATAGTTCCACCAGAAAACACACGTTTAACCATTTCTTAATAACATATTAAAAGGATCTTATTTGATTTTAAGTCTAAATATTTTTATGTTATTTTGTGCAGCATGTTGTACTTCACCAAAAGTTAACAATCGGCAGGAAATTGGATTCTTCTGCAAACTTTGTTTTCACACCATGTGTTACAAAATGTAGTATAAATTGAAAAATACTCAGAATATTTGAACAATTTAAATTCAGTATGTTCAGCATTGTATTTGCTACAATAATGTGCCCTTATTTCTATATTAAAAAAAACAACAACCTACAACTGAGACCTTTCTTCACGCACACAACCACATTTGTACACGATGTATTATAAAAACGTGAACATTCAGAATGTAGAACAGGTGGAATGGGAGGTTTCGGGTTACATTTTAAATCAATCGGAAAGACTAAACAGTTCTGTTAGCAACATGCTCAAAGCCTGGAAACGACGTCGCTGTCTTCCAAGTGAATATCATCGCTGAAGTCAGGAAGGCTGACGCTAGTCTTCCTCTCTTCGTTGCTGTTGGAGTCCAGATCCATTGGAGGCCCCGATCCGTTAGCTATTTGCACGGTTACCGAATCTGGGCTGGTTGTAGTTGTAGCGACGTTCGTGTTCACGCCAGTTGAGGAGTCAGACGTTTCCAACCCCGTGTTCGCGTTTGGCTGGCTCTCAATGTCCAGATATGTGTCGTGGGTGGGGATGGGGGTTGGAGTTGGAGGTGTGTTCTCCTTGTCGGCAGTTTTGTCATCGACACCGCTCCCATCGATACCACCACCCACACTCCCTCCTATCCCGCTTTCAGTACCCTCTGCAGAACCTGTTTCGTTATGTAAAGTGAAGGACGGGCGACTCGTATCCTCAATATCCGCTGCCACAGTGTTCACATGACTATTACTACTAGTAGTATTACTTTCTCCCTGCGGTTGACTCATGCTGTGCGCAAGGTGAGGTGGAGTGGGCGGGTCCTCCTCAGTGGGCGTGAGGAGGTTGGGGGCGGAGCCATTGAGGGCGGGCTTATTTTGTTTTGTTGTTTTGGGCGTGTGGCTTTTCCTGGAGCCTTGAGTTATGGGCGCGAAGGCGTCGGCAGCCTGGAAGGCCAGCTTCCCTAGCGCCATCATCCCAGCCAGTCCGCCGCTGCTGCCGTTCTTCTGAGAGCTGCCACTCTTGGCGGACGCCGTACTGAGTTCTCCTGAGAAAGAGTAACGATGATGACGATGATGATAATGATGATGATACATGTAATAATACAATTTAAAATTTTTATCTTTATCTGTTCCCTTCTACTTCTACCAACTCGTCTTGACCCAGTAGTTTAGGTACTAACACTGACAAAGTCACCACCATAGTATAAGACTTCGAGCAAACTTTCGGAACTTTCGGTGACAAAGTAAAGATGACTCCACTAGGGAGCGCTTGCAACTGCATAAGATCATATGAGCGCCAATAATAATAATAATGATAATAATAATAATAATAACAATAATAATAATAATGATGATGATGATAATAATAATAACAA